ATAAAGAAAACATATCTGCAGGATAATTACCAGTTCGTCTTATTTCGTGGATTCGCCACAACTGCGTACATCCTTTTTTTCAAACAGTGACTGACTTTGAGTTATAGATAGAAAGTATAAGTAACATATAATTCCAAAAATTATTAAAAAGACGGTCGCAACGAAGAAAAGTTTCTTTTCGACGAAGTCATCAACTAGGCTGTACATTCGTGCATTTATTTATGATAAATGGGTGGGAAAGTTCCAGAATAATTTCCGGTCAAAGGTCAAATTAATAAAGTTACAATTAGGAATTAAAATGCTATGGTATTTAACATATAACAAAATCTTTGAAGCGATTGTTTGTTTTGTGTGTGTATCATAATCATCTTTTTAGAACGACACAATGATTCGGAAAGGAACAAGATCGAAAAGAGAATCTCTAAATGAGTTTAAGTACATAGTTGATGACTTCATCGAAGAGAAAATTGTCTTCGCTGCAACCGTCTTTTTAATAGTTCCTATGATCCAATGTGTATATTCCGTAATTCCGAAAATGTAAGTAGATGAATTATTTAGTGTTAAAAGAGTAACTGTTTATAGTATAATTAGAAAAGAGGGTTAGAGAGTTCAAATTTCGCTTGGAAACAAGGATTGACTAGAGACAAAGTACAACATAAAACAAGACAGAGAATTTCTACATGTTATGATAGAGTTTAAGAGGATGGGAGTGAATAGTAAAGTAGATTTGGAAACTTAATAGTCAGTTCAACTCAGTAAGTGAAAATCATAACCGAAATTAAGTGCAATGTTACTCAACAGAACAAAACACAAAAGTATATAAACAAAACAACTACTCTTTTAACACTGAACAATTCGTCTACTTACATTTTTGGAATTATGTTGTTTATACTTTCTATCTATAACTCAAAGTTACTGTTTTAAAAAAAGTTGTACACAGTTGAGGAGAATTCACGAAATAAGACGAGCTCGTAATTATCCCGCAGATATCTTTTCTTTCTTCCTTTTATTCACAATGATGAAAAGTGACGGTATTGAAAGCAAAAGTTAGAAAACATAATGGAAAATAGTAGTGAAATAGCTACATCTGGAGAAACAACTTTACGAGAATCTTTTAAACAATACTTTAAACAAAACGTAACATGTAAAAACGACATTTCAGAATAACCTGCCAATTTTTTAACAAACTGTATTTACCAAAAGAAGAAATCAATCAACATACACAATTATAGATAAGTTAAAGCACAGTGACAAGAGAAGGATAAAAAAAACTGTCAGATGAGACTGTAAAGCGTTCAATATACCCTTTAATTTTCAATCAATAACAGATCTAAATCTACATAATGGAAACTTTTAGTGGCTAGTCAGACAGTAGACACTGACGTGTCAGCACAGATTGACGAAAAACTACTGATACATATAACGAAACGTTTGAAGCGATTGTTTGTTTCGGGCGTGTATCATAATCATCTTTTTAGAACGACACAGTGATACAGAAAAGAACAAGAATCTCTAAATGAGTTAAGGTACATAAGTGGTTGATGCTGATGTTACTGTTATCAAACTTATAAACTTTAAAATTGAAGCTGGCATCGTCACTTTAAACACCACGAATACACAACTTAGAAAAGAAGACAGAATTCACTTAGATATGATTATTATAACTGAATTGATATCGAAACGTCATCCGGTAGAATAATAAGCAGCAAACACTATTTAATACACTACTACAACGGATGTTTGGAAAAAAAGATTAATTAGCTTCAAAAATAATCAATTAGTTTCACAAAAGAAACTATAGCGTTTAAAGAAGACAATAGAATATAAAGGATCTCAATAGTTCCTGAAATAGTTCTGATGTAGGAAAGTGCGCTTGTTTTATTCCTACGTTGACTTGTTATTTACATGTAATGAGTGAAACATATTTCACATAAGGTATTGAGGTGTTAAGTGAGTTGGGATAACCGTAACGCATGTTCACCTACGCCTTCTTCTGCTTATATATAAAATCTATAACACCAATACAGTTTTACTCTTTTGATTGGACACTAGTTAGTAACTAGTGTCATGTGTCTAGTTCTTTATTTAGTGCAGACTGCATTCTATCAGTCACGTTGACAATGTGGCCACCATTCTAGGCGTTTCGCCATCCCGGTGTATTTTGAATTGTTGCTATTAGATGGTTAGAGGCAATCCGCAGGAAGCCTTGCACCTAGGTTTCGAGCTAGTTGGCACTCACCAGTCAGCACGGCGTATCTGCAACCGTGAAGGAACTCATGGCCCAGCTGAGATTCGAATCCACGTCACGCAGTGCTACAGTCAGAGAAGTTACAGACGACATCGGTATGCCTTTCTTTTCAGTTGCAGCATTTTCAAGACGGGAACCTAGTGATTTCCTTCTTCCTTTTTAGTGAGGGTAATTGTGGAAAAGAATGCCACTTTTCAAATAACACCTACAAGTAGTTAAAGTCTATCTTCGGCCATCATCATGAAGAATCCAAAGCAGTTGTCCGGAAACAAATTCAACTTGCATCCAAGAATCCACTAATACATATTCATACTGTTATTAGGAATACTGAAAGATAGGTGGAGAATGTGTAAAAATATCAATGGATGAGTTTTCGTAGTTGGGTAAAGTCTGCTTTCTGTTACATACGACACTCGAAAATCCCCGTTGAGTCATATGAAAAAAGAGAAAACGTTCAGTGAAGAGACTCTTTTCGACGAATTCATTCACATAGCTGTACAATCGCATTTATGTATTATTATTATTTTTTTGTGTGTGTACATGAGGTTTGTCAAGTTTAGATAATTGATCAGGTAATACAAGAATGATCTAATATAGAAACAAGGTTAATCAGACAGCAACTAAAGTAAGATTGAGTTAGTAAGTTAGATGACGTAATACATTTGACTAAAATGTTTCAACTTAGGTCACGGTAGCAACAGAGGTAATTACAAGTAGAGACTAAGTAGAAGTGGGGTAGAGAATAATGTCATTTAAATTAGAACGGAAACTGAGCAAATAAGTTGGATGACGCAACATAAATGACTAGAAATTGAGCGTTGGTCAAGTCAGTAACAGTAACGTTCAATTTACCTGCTCGTGTGGAGCCAGGTATGTCGGTCGTACCCAGCACTAGCTTTCCAAACGTATCACCGAACACTCACCAACATGGTTTTACAGAGGAGAAAAACGATGCCCCCGAAGCTCCATCTTAGAACACCTGATAGAATCCGGACACTAAGCTACACCCCAAACAAACTTCAAAGTCGTCTACAGAGTAAGAAGTAGTCTTCCTAAAGGTGTACGAATCATACTTCTTCAAACTGCAGAAGCAATGGCATAAGACTTGCTAAGTCCTGAAATCTGCATACAGAAGAAGTTCGTTCAATCACTACACTTGCAATGGACGTAATCTACCTTATTACCTGACAAGTAAATTCTACCTAATCTTTTTTCCTGTCTCTTCATTAGTAATATTCTGTCTTCTCAATTGTAATATTTTACATTTTCAACTTTTCTGTTCTGTACCCCCACCCGATTTAATTTCTACACCTCACTACCACTGTTACTGACTTGACCAACGCTCAATTTCTAGTCATTTATGTTACGTCATCCAACTTATTTGTTCAATCTCAATTCTAATTAAAATGACATTATACTTTACCCCACTTCTACTTAGTCTCTACTTGTAATTACCTATATTGCTACCCTGACCTAAGAAAGACGTGTACATCAAGCTACCCTATATGGGGCATCAAAGCAGCTTGATAACTAGACAAAGATTGAACGCTGCTGTCAAAAAGACTTTTTATGCAGCCAATATCATAATAATAGAGAATGTAAAGCCAATATATCTATCTAAGCCCTTCCAACCTGCGAAAAATGACGTCACATCCCACTGTATTTACCAATTTGAATGTGCGTGTGGACACACATACATAGGGAGGACTCATCGATCTCTGCAATTAAGGGCTTCAGAGCATATTCCTAAATGGCTCCAGAAACAAATGGAATCTTCAGAACCTATTAACGGTGAGAACAGGAGACCTAGCTTTTCTATTGCGAAACATATTATAGAGACAGGACATAAAATTGATGTCAACAGATCTTTTAAACCTATCTATAAAACGTGTTTGGGGCGTATCCTAAAGTTTGTGGAAGCCCTGGCAATTAGAGAGTTTAAGCCACCTTTATGCGTTCAAAAACAATTTGTCATCACATTAAACCTTCCTTGGTAAATTTTGTTTTGATACCATAGCAGATGTACTGTTACCTCTGATATTTGGTTTAGCGGTCTTCATTGTTACTTTGACCTTGAATTATATTACGTCATCTAACTTACTAACTCAATCTTACTTTAGTTGCTGTCTGATTAACCTTGTTTCTATATTAGATCATTCTTGTATTACCTGATCAATTATCCAAACTTGACAAACCTCATGTACACACACACACACAAATAATTATCTATAAATGTGATTGTACAGTTGTGTGAATGAATTCACCGAAAAGAGTTTCTTCTCTGAACGTCTTCTCTTTTATTTACACATGACACTGTATCCGAGATCAAGTAAATTCCCATTCCTAATCACATATAATGACACTGTGAACAGTTAGGATTGAATGAAATTCCAGATAAGAAATTCGAAATGTGCGTATTAATAATTGATTAATAATCCAATCAGTTACACCAAATCAAACACATACAGTGTACACCTAGTGCCAAGGGGAAAACGAGTGACTAACATAACTGGAAATACCAAGGTAGGTTTACTAAAAATTTAAAGTGACAAGTGCAGAGTTTCAGCCATACTGAAAACGAAATGAATAGATGGAAGCATAGCTTATCAGTCCTGAATGAGTAGATGGGGACTATTTAGATCATAAATATATCTTCATATGCTAATGTGTAATACAATCTCCAAACACCTTTTAGACATAAACTGTATTCCGGTGATATGGTATAAATAACTTAAAAACTTAAAAATCTTACGTATGATGAATGATGCAATTGTCAGAAGTGATAATACGAAACGTGTAATCCAAATACGACCAGAACGAAGATATTTATATGTTATATACGTGACACAGAGTGAATATATCGAACCACCACCAAAAGCCAATGCTGCACCAATAATATGTACAGACCAAACAGCTGTTTCCTAAAATAAAGTAAATAATCAAGCAATAATAATAAGATTGAAGTCATGAAATATTTTGTATAAGTAACATGTCCTTACATAATTGAAGGTAAAAAAATTACTACCTTAGTCTGTCATAATAAATATTATCACACTGGGCTGGTACTGGGCGGTTACCTTGACAAAGTATAAAATAAAATGAAGGAGGAATCAAATAAGTCTTGACTCAATTTTATGCCTAAAGGACAACACCCAGAAAATAATAAAAAAACATCATTCTAACCGATAGTTGGGCTAGTATATACCAATAGCCAAACAGTCTACTAAGGCTGAAATGACGTTACTGTAGAAGTTGGACGAAAGTAAGATCAGAGCACCGCTATCCATCTACACTATGGTGGAGTCTGAAGGCTAAATCACACTACTGATGGATTAGGGTATAGAAGTAGCAAGAGGCTCATCTATCATACAAACAGAAATATTTCATCTCCATCTTAAGGAGGAGGGACATAAGCAGGTTGCTACCTTAGCTGAAAATGTCCAGCTGTTCTAGGGGAGGTAAATGGTTCGATCAAATTGCTGTAGATCCTTGCGAATACCACTTTACAGCAAAAGGAACAAATATTCCAATGAAAAATACGATTAACAGATGTGGTATCTAAACTCTTATGATGTAACTTAAGAAAACCTGATAGAACTAGGCAAGTTTCAATCGCAGATTTTGGTGTATTGAATAAATCTCCACCCTTCAACAGGTGTCCGAACACCTGCATACTTACCGGAGTACGACACTTGCTGTTTATTCGAAGGAGACATTTAACTCCATTGATAGGTGGGCATTGTGGTAATGCCTGCTGGTGAACAGAGTAACTATAATGTATGTTAGGTTAATGAAAGCACTATGTCTGAACGCATGTGACCACACTGGGAGCTTATGGATAAGTTTTGTCCGAAGTATTAATAACCAGTGGTGTCTATGAAAAATCGCTCATGTCACCATTAATATTTAGTCTGATTATTGACGTGAGGATGGATGTGATCCTCAATCAAGTGAACTCTTTAACTCCGATATGCAGAAGGTCACAGTGAGTTCGAGAACACAGATGATTTAGTCCTTTTAGATGAAGACCTTAATGAATATCTAGAACAAAAATCTGGATATGTTTGGTATCGATTTCACCCCCCATAGGATTTAAGATGAGATTGGAGGAATCGTGTGCGCCAACTCCTAATTTAAGCACAGTCAGTTAAATGGCCGCATTTGTTTACCCTTTAAACTATTTGCAAAGTTGTGTCAACCCTAAAGGACTGACAGCTGAGAATAAATGTATTCAAAGATTAGATGTTTTTGATCATGGACATTTTTATTCATTTTCTTTTTATATGGAGCGTCGTGGCAAGTAAAAGTTGAGATGGGAAAACAGCTACGAATTGTCAGAATATAACATGACATCACTCGGTGAAATCACAAAACAATGGCTTAAGTATTAGATGGTTGGAGGCAATCGTCAGGAAGCCTTGCACCTAGGTCTCGTGCTAGTTGGCACTCAGAAGTCAGCGAGGCGTATCTGCAACCTTGTAGGAACTCATGTCCTTTCTGTGATTCGAACGTTAACACTGAGCTATTCGGGCTCGCGACTGACCTTCTGTGGGACTGTATTGGATACTTCTGATTGGACACTATTTAGTAACTGGTGTAATGTGTTCATCTTATATCAACTATTCAAAGTGCACCATGATGGCGAGCCACCTAGAATGGTGGCCACATGGCCAAACCTGACTGACAGAATTCAGTCTGCAGCAAACAAGGGACTAGACACATGACACTAGTTACTAACTAGTGTCCAATCAAAATGATTTAATTTTCAAGTATTGGTTTTGTAGGAATTTTGTTTGATTGCATGGAGGATTTCATTCCCAGGTTTTCCAGTGATTCTCTAACTGATGTCAGCTCATGATGAAGTCCTCCATGCAATCAAACAAAATCCCTACAAAACCAATACTTGAAAATTAATCTGATGCTCACTAGTGACTGGCCCTATTCAGGCAGTTAACCTGGGGTTCTAGTGGGAAGCCGTGACCAATAGGGTACAGCAGGTTGAAGATGAGGCAGTAACTCATCGAAGAAGACATTGCGAAATGATCGCGCTATGTCGTGAATTGGCAGAAGTTAGAATTCATGGACTGGCCATTGGATCGCGTCCCAGTGGCTTAATGGTATACGAGCTTGCCTTGTAACCAGAAGGTCCTGGGTTCGAACCCTGTTGGTGGGTAAGTGCTGTGAAGAGCCCCAAACTAGGACGAAACGGCCGTCCAGTACTCCCAGGTTTTCCAATGGTTCTCTAACTGATGTCAGCTCATGATGAAATCCTCCATGCAAGATGATTTAAGTCGCGTAAGGAGGTAAAGATTAACTCGCAGGAGTCTACTCTAAGTTAGGAATGAATGCTTTGAAAATTTTTAGTAAGAAGACCTAAAACTGTTATGAAAATCTTTATTGTTTTTATTCACTTACTGTATTTTTCATATGCTTGTTTCTCTATTATGATACACTTTTATGAGAGTTTTGATCAAAACTTTTCAGTCCGTAATAAAAGATCTTGGGTTTGACGCTAAAGTATGTCGTGAGCGAGACCTCCTAAGGGTTTCAAATATTAATGTAGCAAGCTTACAGTGCTGTCTAGCTCCTGATGGTTCTTCAACCCACTTGAATTTGCAATGAATACTAACTTCATGAGCTGACATCAGTTAGAGAACCATTGGAAAACCTGGTAGTACTGGACAGCTGTTTCGTCCTAGTTTGGGACTCTTCACCAGCACACACACACCGAGGTTCGAACCCAGGGTCTCCTAGTTACAAATCGAGCCCGTAAGCCACTGGGACTCAATCCAGTGGCCCATGAATTCTAACTTCTCTAACTGATGTCAGCTCATGACGACATCCTCCAACCAATCAAACAATATCCCTACAAAACCAATACCTGAGAATATTAACTTAAAATTAATCAGTCCGTACCCAGTTAAATGATATAGTTCATATAATAGATTGAATTCAATAAATTATTCGCGAAGAGTTCAAGCAATCGATGTTTGGTAATATATTCGGCTTGAAACTTTAAAGATCTGAGTCCAATCCTCAACACTGTAGACATAATGATGTAGAATACAAATCGACCAACAAACCAATTACTTAACTGAGAGTAAAGCAACACACCTAAAAAATCCTTTTCACACAGTTTACATGATAAACAAAATTTTCTCAAACGTGTAAGGCGTTATTAACTTTGTTTTACTGAAACCCTGTGATTCACAAGTAAGAAAACAAATTACATGACAAAAAAAACACGACAAATCTTCACGTTTTAGCGATCGAACTTTTATTTTTTTGTTTCAATCTTCTATCACCTAAAGATTGTGATTTAGAAGCTAGTTTCTCATTCACTCACCAAGTAGCCAGATTATCATTTATTGATTTCAATTTAGAGTTATTTCACATAGGAAGAAATAAGGAGAATTTATTAGAAACAATGTTAGTTTGTCCACATTTTCTTTTGACATAATTTTAAGTGACTTAATATTCTCGTCCACGACCTGAAAGGGACTTTAATTATTCAAACTATTCTGACATTTCTTAATATAAAACATGGACACTAATTATGTACAACCAAAGGTCTACATATCTAATTTGATAATGATATGACCTTAAAATAATTTGTTCGCGTGCCTGTATTATAAATCATTCGGATTACTTGAATTTCCCTTGACAGATAAGCAAACAAGTTATTGAAATTGTCAGACTTAAAAACGGTACTTATAAAATGTGTCATCCAGAAACTGAATGACACTATAATGTACAAAGCTGTGTGTGACGGAAGTAATGGTTCAAAGAGAATTGGCGAATATATCTTCAGTTTAGAAGATGACAGAGAATAAAATATACATCTGCATCTAAGTGATTTTGAGTCACATCACCATGTGTCTACAATTACTGATTCTTAGCATTTCAGAAATCCTAGCCAGACAACTTACACCACCCTACATGACTCAAACCAACAGACACTGGCTTCATCAGTTCATTCCATATTTTGATCTAACCACTCATAACAATTTTTGAGCCCAGTTCTGGTTCAAAACGACATAGCTTGTCGAGAAAATTTTGTGGTTGCATGCCTGAAGTATTCCCATCAACTGATGAAGACTTATGATCTCATCGAGTAACTTATGTTCCTTACCTAACACTTTACGATTCATATCAGCCTCATCCGCTATGTTACTTCAACTAAAGTGAGCACATGAAAGGAGAGACAAATGATCAAAAAACTAAAGAATATCTACAGCTGCGTCACACAAGTGAAAACTATGATGAAGTGAACTGCAGTGGAATATATACGCAGTCTGACGGCTTATCAAATTATAGTTTATAAGAAGTGGTATAACTTGATTATCGCTACTAATCATTGAAACGACAAGAACATTCAAAACAGAACGGTCTTTTCACGATAGCTAACAGCTATTCCGATTTCCAACACTGCTTTGAATTCCTCAGCTTGAGCATATGCATGATTTTAAGGCAACCAGTAGCACATTACTAGAAGAACTATTGCATAAGGAAATCTTAACACAACTCGATCGCCTTTCACCAACTGCCTTCATCATCATTCATCAAGGCTTCTAATAAAACTTCCAGAAAACCTAAATTACTACATTAGTATTAATGAAACTAACATTCATTAACAGTGAGAACTACTAAAATATTTGGCTTGGGAAACGATAAACCCAGTGCATAGAATAATACTTTATTGAAAATATTCAGACCAGAATATGTAGTCAAAGTATTTGGGAGGAATTGAGGTGGTTTGAACTCCTCACAAAGGGCACCCTGAGCTCAGCCAGGTTCCAAACAGCAGGAAAGGTTATCCAATGTTTAGATCATTTCGACTTCGTTTGCATGAAACACTAGTTGGTAGTTTGAGTGGTTTCTAACGATAAACGCCACTCAAAAGTATGTAACATCTTGTAATATAGGATAGATTCAATCTAAGAAACCGATTAGAAGGAACAAAGTGACTATTCAAGTTGAAAAAGGACCATCATGCTCACTATATGTGAAATAGTAGTACAAAAAACTAGTGAAGAGTTTTCTACCCATAAACCATAACTGCTGATTACGTCTTAACTTTACTGCATTGCACAAGGAGGTTGCTTTCAGTAGTCATATGAACAGGATGCACAATCCTTGCTTGTTACCATTTTTAACACTGGCTAACTGGCTAGGTCTTTAATCTTAATTTTAATAATCCGGGATAAAAAGAAGAAAGAGAAGATGGTGATTAACCGTTACTCATACTGAAACGGTAGAAGACGAAAGACTTGGTAAAGGAATGTCTATTTACGATTTGGTATCTCTAAATAACCAAATTTTATACGCCTTATCTTCAGCGTACCATTCCGTGTTGTGCTACTTCACGCCTTCCTTCATACTGTGTTTCCTTGTGCTCCTTTCACATCTATGTATCTCCACTACGCCAAATCTTTTGCTTTCTCTGACGTCAGATATATCTCCCTGCTACCTGATGTTTTTATGCTGATGAATGTCTCTTTATATACTACTGATAAATCTTATCAGTAGCACTTGCCACAATGCCATCAAGTAGACTGATTTGATACACCAGAGCATGTCTCAATCGTAAGACGATGCGGAAGGAGGGGGGGGACGGAGAAATTCAATGAAATCAAAACCTGACAAGCGTAAAATCTTATGACTTTGGTAACAGGAATTCATCATGAGCTGACATTAGTTAGAGAACCATTGGAAAACCTGAGAGTACTGGACAGCTGTTTCGTCCTAGTTTGGGACTCTTCAGTAGTACGCACCCACCGGGGTCGCAGTATGTCGTGAATTGGCAGAAGTTAGAATTCATGGACCATTGGATCGGGTCCCAGTGGCTTAATGGTATAGGAGCTCGCCTTGTAACCAGAAGGTCCTGGGTTCGAATCCTGGTGGGCGCGTGCTGCTGGAGAGTCCCAAACTAGGACGAAACAGCTGTCCAGTACTCCCAGGTTTTCCAATGGTTCTCTAATTAATGTCAGCTCATGATGAATTCCTGTAACCAATCAAACCCCTACAAACCAACACTTGAATATCTTATAACTTTGTTTGGCTGAGCCAGTTGTCTAAGACTATTAGTCTGAATGCTTATACAATCCACATTTTCGTTATAATTTCAGTTGTCCCTCATTGGGACCAAAAACCACGGCTTCCTGAATAAATCTACGCAACATATACAGCATCTTTCATTAACTGAAAAAGAATAATAAAAGTAATACTATTTCTCTGTTTAATTAATGTTCAAATATATCCTTATGTTTCTGCTCATCATCAAACTAATTGATTATTACATGACATATAGAAAAAAATGAAAACAATATTTGTCTGTACAACAGTGAATTGACTCACTTGAAAATTAGCTACTAAACTCATTCCAAATGCTGATATGAAGCCAAAACATAAAGCGATTCTAGCTATTTTCATCTGACGATAACATCGCCGATCATATTTCTGACTGCAATCCAATATATATTTGTGCCATGAATAGAAACATAAACCTCCTTTATGTATAAATCCACGCAGGAAGAAAACAATAAATAATTGAACGATAAGAAAAAAATTGTACAAAATAATATTATCAGTGGATGCCTAAACATTAGTGGTGTCATCTTTGTTATCAGTACACGTAGAAAAACAGCTTTCACAGTGAAGTAAACACTGGTAGAGTAATTTGAACTGATTTACAGCATTGTTAAGTAAGAAAACAAAAGGACTGAGAGAAGAAATATTAACTTTCCAACGAAATCCTCCACTCCAATACATACATACATAACAATTTACAATACGGTATAGAAATGTACTAGTCTAGTGGTCCGATAAGAAGCAGTTTATTCAGGAAATCTATAACGAGAAGTCTGTGTACTCATTTCTTTTGATTTTCATACCTTTGAAACATAAACGCAACTTAGTAACATGTTTGGTTCATAGAGTATACTGCTCAAACGATGAGTTCAAGATTATCGAAGACCTAAGTGGTTGTCCAGATAAATTTATTGATACAAATACGGATTCAGCGTTAAGGTAAATCAGTGTGACAACAAATCCAGAGAAGCCCTTGTTCATCAGATTGTAGTTTCTCGGTGATAACATCGGTGAAGCAATAACGTAGTGTCTAAAGAAGGCAGTAAAAAGAGCATCCATTGCTTCTTTCCAACCACTGCAGTTTTACACTCGAGAAATCAGGATAAACTACCTAATTTTGCCTCCTCTGTGTGTATCTACCAGTCTGATTGCTCCTGTAGAGACAATTATATTGGACGTACAATTTAGTCATGTTTAACATCGGGTTTTTGAATATCATACTGCATGTTTAAACTCCTGTTTTAGCACACCTTGTAGACAGTGAGCATTAAGCTGATATTAATAAAGAATTAATAAAGCATTGCAGTAACTTTGCTTACCTTGACCATCATTACGTGAATGTAAGAAAATGACAATTTTTTCCTCCACTTAAGCCTTCTACATGTTATCATTGTCCTTACTATTTTATTATTCTGACTGTTAATTGCATAATCAATCCGAACACTCATTTAATTCTCTTTTTTTTCTGCAAAATTATGTAACTTGTAATCCACTTGTTTAATTTTTGCAAATATTTCAACTATTTTATTGCTGCGCTAATTTTCTTGGTTAATTAGTACCCCGTTGACATGGTGATATTGACTAATTATTATTAACAAACTTATCACCACTAGACTGGCAAATTTCTGTATTCATTAGAGTAGAGCAGTAGATGGGGATCGGACTGCAGAAATATTTATTTCTTCGCTCAATCCTTTTATCAACTGAAGTCATACCTGCTTAAGAATATCTACAGTGACAGTGAATTCTTCTCCAAAGCTTCACTTAAATATAACTTTATGCCCGCGAAGTAGAAAGAAATTTTTGGATAACTATACTCTATTGAGGAGAGGGAACTGCTATTTATACCATTCACACTGAAATTACCCGCATACAATATGAAGGAAAACACAAGTGTGTACGTGTTTAAAGTTACCAATTCGGCTATATTACTGAAAAGTATGTCCCACTAGTCATTTATCCATTGCTTTATTCATATTTATCTTTATGACTATAGTTAATTTTCTTCCTAATATTAATGAATACTACACTGGTTAGATTTAAACCAAGAAATTTCTAATCTGTAAGTATAATATTGAAATAATTTGGTGGATGGTGACTGGCAGTCGAATCCAGGGATTGGGATTCATCATCCCGATATGCCTGGATTCGCCAGTGAGTGATAGTATAACAACTGAGGCTCGAACCTAGTGCCCGGCATTTCAACCGCTGAATCGTTATCCACCAAACCACTTGGGCTCAGAGAGTCACCTTTTGTCGTTTTAATTATCACTATTATTTTATACTTCAGAGTGCAATAAGCCTGAAAGCTATTGACTAATCACTAATATCTCCTTAAATTAATTGTTAAAAAGACAGAATGGTGTGCTCTTACTTCTCCTTAGTCTGTTTATCATTGGTTCTGGAATCTGAATTCCAATATCTAATGAAAACCATAAGTTTCCTTATATTGACAAATTAGCCGTTATGAAGACAGACAGTAATTAAAATAATTCAACAGAACGCTTCATGTTTAATACATTTTAAGATGTAGCGTTCATCAGACATTTATATGTATACACAGTTATGTAATAAACATTAGGCGACGGTATTGATAAAACAATATAACAGTTAATCGATATTTACCAATTAGTGAAGCCATATTTAACAATTGGCCAAATATACAACTTTCCGGGACCGTTGAACCAGCATCACTTGATATTCCAGAACAACATACACCGAAATAAAAAGTAAATTCATGGGTTAGATTGAACAAATACTCTTCAAAAATTGTTAATGAGCAGTTAAAAAGTAACAGAGTGATAAACTGAGTAGAAAACTCAACTTTGAAACATCAATAAACTCCCAGAGATATAGAGAATAAGAACATATAGAAAACGTTTCGTGCTCACTGAGCTTTTACAATCAACTGTAAACACTTTCATAATTAACTTGATAATATAATTAGCCTCTGCTGCTTTATATTCCACCCGGCCATAATATTTGACTTCTTTTCTGGTTTATCACCTTAAGGAATGATACGTCAACTACAACTGAGAAACCGTACTAAACCCTGTGCTGAAGATATCAGTATGCCTGAATATTATTGATTTATTTTTTTATTCGTTATACGAAGATTCATTTTATACCGGAAAACATTGCGACATTTTGTGGATATCAGATATCTACAGTATTTATCTAAGTATTTTAAAGTCACTTTGTGCAAGTTTGAATTTCTGTGCTCAGCACTGGATGTATCTTTTTTAAAACAGAAATCATTGCGAAATTCTTTAAAGGCTCATATTTCATCTCTATTTTATCGTTAATGATACAATAAATACGTCAAAAATGCTGAATTTCTCATAAAGTGATGAAAGTCTAAGCTTTAGAACTATGGATCGAGAGGTTTGCACAAAATTATTTCTTCACCACAGAAGTGAATACAATTAGTGAACATATATATACAACTATGTAAGTGTATAGCATGGGCACTGTGGTAGAATGTAATTCCATATTAGATCAGTTTATCTCAAACATCACACAATGATGCAGTATTAATAACTAGATGATGTTCCAAGCAGAATTTATTGCTCATGATCATATCAGTTAGTCACACGGCTTTATCATTTACTTTATACATGTATTTCTCTCTCTCTTGTCCTTCCTGTTTGTTGCAACTTTCCTTATCTCCTTTATAGGCGTTGCATCGTTTCGATTGCACGTGCGCGGTGTTGAATCAATAAACAAAGATTCCGTGATTAACATCTCTAACTATGTTGCTTTATAACACTTTCACCCAGTCGCACCCTATTGTGTTATTGTATGCATATACAACTGTGTTGCGACAGTTAGTATTTTTAAAGATTTTTATGGTGAATATTGTTATCCTGTACCTGGATCAATTTAATTAAAAAAACATTTGAGACTAAATTCGTCTGTATGCGTGAGAAGATTTCATTTTAGCCCCTCAAAAATCATTATTACAACCAACAACAGAACACGAAACCGTCTGAAGAACCCACAAACAAGAAAGAAATGGCTTTCCAGTACACACTAGTTTTCAGTGGTTCCCTAATTGAAGTCAATTCATGATGGAAATTGGAATCAATAGGATCTTCTCAAATCACTGACTGACTGGTTTCAACATAGAACTTTGCACAAATGTGCAGCAGTTCGAGTCACCACACTCCATGTGGCACACAAAGCAAGAGGAGAAAGTAAAAAGAAATGCAAAATAGTGGCAGTAAAATTACAGATATGAGGCAAAAAGAAAAGTAATATCGAAGAACAATGTAGTTTCATTGGGTATTTTAAGTCACAGGGAGTGGATGCATCTGCGCCAACCATTGAGAACGATTTTGAGCCATTTCACCAATTGTCTCCAGCCTTCATTGGTTTTAACCGTCCCGAGGACCTCAACCAGTCAGGGGGTCTACACCTTCCTACGTGGCTTAAACTAATTGCTGTGGATTTCATTGACTGATGAGGCTGTGTTTTGGTTTGACCACCACTAACTAGCTCTTTTACAACCTGATCCTATGTCAGCTAAAATTGACCGTCGAGGTAGGCGGTAGCTAGGCATACTTAACACATGTCATAACTATCTCAAACGATGTAACTTCGCAACCTCGTCGATTGATTTCCCCTCTTTACCTAGCAGTCGACATCTAACCTCAATATTGCTCACCCTATTGTACCATTTCACACGGGAGATGGAACGCAGACACCTATGGTCAAAGACAGCTAGCTAGCCTTTTCATGTCTTCCACTCTCAATGGCCAGGTCTCACGACTAGCCAAAAAGGAGGACGGAGCGAACTGCTGAGCAGTACACAAGCCCTTTGGTCGATAGCCGGATATCACGTCTACGCTAGAGACGGCGTAAACTGGCATACGCGAACCGAGCCTTCTGTATTCGGGCTGAGATTTCGTCAGTGATCAACCCGTTGGGGCTAATGCAACTTCTCAAATAAGTGAAGTGGTCAATGCGCTCTACCACTTCACTCCCTATCTTTAAGCTGGGAGTCAATGTAGTCCAAACCTGTAGTATCATCTTACACTTTGTGAGGGCGAACTGCATGCATAACATACGCAGATTGCAGCTCAAGGTGTTCAGAAGAGTCTTCACTTAAAAGGGCTATATCATCTGCATATTCTAAGTCAACAAGGTTATTCCCTGGTAACAAGTCAACCCCTGAGTCTCTGAAGTGAGCTAGGGTTAATTCCATTAGTACATCCTTGATGAAATTGACTAGAAATGGGGATAGTGGGCATTCCTGTCGGACACCACACTAGTGATCATTAGTGGTTGACTACAAGATGAAGTTGATTGAAGTTCTAGTGAGAATTTTTGACCAGTGAGGTCCCTTCAAGTTGAGAGTGACAACAAACATTGATTAGTGGTCGAGCTATACGTCACAAATTGGCAAAAATAGGTCACTGGATTCCGTCTCAGTGGTTGTATGATCAAGGAGGTCACCTTGTTATCCGAAGGTCCTAGGTTCGATCCCTGTTTCGATCGTGGTTGCACACCATCGATGAGACTCACACAAGGAAGTCGTAAAAGCTGTCCAATACTTTCTGGATTTTTAATGGTTTTGTAAGTGAAATCAGTCAGTGATCAAACTTATTATCCACTTCACTCGATCAAGTAATTAGAGAGAAATTTACAAGTCTTACGCAATATAGTATGGTGGTGAATTTACTGATGACAAGAATGTTTACATTTATAATTATTAACACTTCATTTTACACAGTAATAATTAAAGATACTGTGCAGTGTACATGATGTTTACATTCACTAGTGCGAATAACAGTGAATATCAACTAATATTTGTTCAGGCCTTGTTTGGATTAATATCATATATATATATATATATCCTTAAATTTGGGTGTGCACCCATAGAATATACGCTATATTCATGACGATGTGTGTAGATAAAAAGTTACATAGTGAAACTTATTTTTGTGTAAAAACAGTAATAATAATAATAAATCATTAAGAACATGTTTGTACAAGCGTAAAATGTCAATTACAAATGGGTAAAATAAAGTATATTATATGTGTGTATATAATGAAAGAGGCTTTCGTCACAATTGGCTTTTTATATTGGTACACTGAACACCAAGAAAAAATGTATCAGAGGATGGTGTCACACTCCTTACTGAACATATTTCATATCTGGTTGATAGGAGTGAATACATTTAAATCGAGAGTGTGATAGTGGTTACAGAGTACAGAATTATGATCTGCGGTCACCGTATTATCTAAAGCATCAACGACTAGACCTTTGCACACCGATGTTGGACAATCGAGTATGTTCTTAGAGTCGCCTGACCATAACTTCTTCCAAGATTCTTTAAACAATGATTAGGCATTACAGTGAGTGCAAGTTTTAAAAATTTACTATAACAATTTTATGTGTTCCATTTTCAGTATAACTGATTAAACCGTCCATATGACTCATCCCTATCGTTATCAGCTTTTAATGAAATTCAAGTAAGTCACCTCAGTGCCCTTTGAAAGTAACTGAACATGAAAGACAGTAGTTAGGGGCAGAGAAGAGTTTCTCCAATTAAAACTGATGAACACTAATATCATGAATTCGCTTAGTTGACAAATACTACTAAAAAAACGATAAAATACTTCTTCACATGATATAATACACAAAACATACAATAAAATTTACTATTATTCCGTCTGTCTGTCTGTCTGGATTCAACATAGAACTTGGCACCGAAGTGCAGCAGTTTGAGTTGCCACGCTCCAAATACCACACAAAGGTAGACAAGAAAGTGAGTGAAGAGAATCAATAGAGTTTTGGCAAGTATAAGAGTGAAACAGAATGAGTAATGGTAGAAAGGATTATGAAAGATTACAGAGACTCGATACATCTGCAACATTGACAACGATTTTGAGCCATGTCGCCTATTGTCTCCAGCCATTAATTCTTAGAGTCCCGAGGGCGGGCCCCAACCCGGAAGTCTGCATCTCCCTACCTGACTCAGTTTAACTGTCAGGGATTTCATGGATTGATGAGGCCATGTTTTTCTTTGGCCACCACTTACTCTTTTCCAACCTGCACCTATATCAGTTAGTAATGCCCGTCGGGGGAGGCGATGGTTAGGCATGCGCAGCACGTGACCTAGCCATCTCAATCTATGTAACTTTATAGCCTCTCCGATTGATTTTCCCTCTTTGCCCAACACTCTATGCCTAACGTCAACATTACTTACCTTATTATGCCACCTAACGTGAGAAAGAGATCATAGACATCTATGATCAAAAACAGTCAACCTTTTCATGTCTTCAACTCGTATTGGCCATGTTTCAGAGCTATAGGGAAGGACGGAGCGAACTGCTGAGCAGTACACACGTCCCTTGGTTGATAGCCGGATGTCACGCCTACGCCAGAGATTGTGTAAGTTAGCGAAAGCAGCCCGAGCTTTTTGGATCCGTGCTGAAATTTCGTCACAGCTTTCGGTTGGGTTACTATTATTCACACATACAATGTCTCAAAGTCGACTCGAAGAGTTATACAGAAAAAATTAAATTGCATTTATATGACTACAAGGGGGAGGCAGGGGGAATTTCATACATTAATGCAATATGTTGATGAAAAAGTTGTCAGACAACCTTTACCTTGCATTATCCAACCTCAATGGTACTATCATTTCTCATATACGTGAAATGAAAAAATATGCCAGTTCTATTGCATCTAATGAGTTTTTATTCACACACAGACAGCAGGTTTAGTAAATGATATTTGTGCCTGTCACGGGAATATATTTTAGATAGTAAACCATCAATGTGTGCCACTATTATTACAATCACTATACCTATTACAAGTTTCTTACAGATTATTCTATAATTACTGTTATCATTTTTCTGTTAAGGTCAGTCGATATTGATTGCTGAGGACTTCACTTTTTCAACTGTGAAGACTAATAATAAGTGTCAGACACCCCATATTAGAATTAGCGTACTTTGAACGAGTACACGAGATCAACACAATCGTGTAAAATTGTAAGACGAATAAATATCCCAATTATACTTTGCAGATAATGCGCACCAAAATAACTTTTTTTTCATCCCATTTCAAAGTATGGTGCTTATTATCACCAATGATATACCTAATTGTGGTGGACTGGATTATGCGTCAGACAGTGGGAAACGAGAAGACAGGGATATCCTGGACCGACGTGAAGAACCTAGAAGACCTGGATTTCGCGGATGATTTATGTATGATGTCACACAAAATCGAAGACTTACAAGAGAAAACCGACAAACTGTTCGAAGAAGCAGCAAAGACAGGACTCCAGGTGAACATAAACAAGACGGAGGTTATGAAAATAACCAACCAACAACAACAACAGCAGCAACATCCAGCGCCAATCACCATCAATGGGAGGGATTTGAAAGAGGTTACTTCATTCACTTATCTAGGGAGTATTGTCTCAACTACAGGAGGAACGGATGAGGATGTCAACTCGAGAATCGGGAAGGCGAGAAACACATTCATCAACCTGAAACCAATCTGGAAGTCTTCGTCCCTCAACATCAACAACAAAATTTGGATTTTCAGTACAAACGTCAAGTCAGTTCTTCTATACGGATCAGAAACTTGACGGGTCACCAAGAATATTTACAACAGGTTGCAGACCTTCATCAACAGCTGTCTTCGCTCTATACTGAAGATCAGATGGCCGGAAAGAATCACAAAGAAGAAACTATGGGAACAAACAAAGCAAGAACCAATCGCCCAACAAATATGCAGGAGAAAGTGGAGATGGATTGGACACTCGCTGAGGAGGCCGTTGAGTGACATCGCGCGTCAGGCCCTCGAGTGGAACCCGAAAGGGAAGCGGCGAGTGGGACGTCCAAGAGTGACATGGAGGAGATCGTGTGAAGAAGAGTTGAATCAGTATGGATTAACATGGATGCAGGTGAAAAGTACAGCAGAAGACAGAGGCAAGTGGAGACGTGTAGTTGAAGCCCTATGTTCCACTAGGAATCCAAGGGAACAATAATAATAATAATCAAAGTGTGATAGCTTACAGATATTACAAAAAATATTCAACACACACATGTGGAATGAAACTCAAAAGCAACGGTGCTGATAATAAACAACCAAGCTATATTTAATTTCAGACTTTATTATGCTCATTACCTAATTTAAATGTCTAAAGCATTGAATATTATGCATGTGTCTGTCCTGTGAGTTCTTGAGTCAAAAGCCACCATGAGTGCAACAAGTAATGGTTCACTTAGCTGAAAGCCAGTATTACAGAGAGTTGCGCCTAAATCATTAGAATTCAGTGTGTCTAAGGGTTTGTCCTAGAAAACCAATAAGCTTTTCATCAGTTCTTACTTCATTATACATGTTGACTAACTTGGATTATATATATCTATCGCTAAGTAGGTAATAAGGCCGATAAAGAGGGAAGGCTGGGCATGAAGATAGCAATCTCACTCCGTAGAAATGAACACCACTGCTATGGAAACTTCAAGGTTTTAATTTGAAGCCATACGTTCCATTAGGTACGTAAAGAAATAAAATAAAAAAATTATAAATATATATAAGGCGCTAATTTAAATTAACTCACCTGATGTAAGGGAAATAAGGAGATATATGATCACGTTTGAGGGACATGAAGTAACTACAGAAAGAGAAAACATCAAACACTGGAATCAGTTCAGGTTAAATTCCCTCATTTTAGAATACTACATTTTCGTGAAACGAAACAATGAATACAGCATGTTCGTCATGAGATCTGTCCAACTATCTATCAACTATTTGAATGAAAGTTTCATTCTCATGTAATGGCTTTAGGTGCTTAAGACTCTACAGTACCTTTAAATATTGTCTACAAAATTTTAAAGTAACTATTTAAAATCAACGGATAGGCGAGAGGTAACCGTGGCGCTTTCAGGTTTATATTAATTTCTACCGCCTACTTCCTCATTTAATGTGGAAAGGATAGAACTAGCGTAAAGTACGTTAGGAGTTACACTATGGCCTGACGTATCATATGTGAGCATTAACTCAAAATGTAGATGTAAATTAAATAGTAGATCAGAAACTTTGAGTCGGTGAGTAGATAAAATGTCTAAGTTAAATGCCTAACGCTATATACCACTGATTGGTTGGTGCAAGTAGTTGGATACCACTCACAGCTCAGAGAATCGAATCAGTTGAAGCTATCCAAATTCTGGCTAGCTACTTGGGCGAACTGGTAATACGTTGAATTAAATTTAATTAATTTGTAAATTGCGAGTGAGATTTAACATATAAATTAAACTTTTAAGACTGGAAATATTATGATAGTGAATGTTCTATAGTGGATAGATGGCATTCATACCACTACTGATAAATCCACCTCAAGACTGGGAGAAAACTTGACGGCTAATATATCAAATCTACTTGCAGAAATTTACAGATCAGTTGTCTGTTTGCAGTTCAAATACATCATATTCCAAATGTCAAAAGAGACAAAACACAATATTTTGAATATGCGATTCAGAAAGTTGACATTTGAATGGATTGAATGCAAACATCAACACAGTGAAAACGTACAACTAATAATTGTTTGTCTAATTAGTACGAAATATGGTACATTTTAAGTGAGTCCTGTATGTTGCAGGTGAAGACTTTCTGAAGAAAACAATCATTGAAATCAGATATATTCAACACTTTACTGATAAAAATTTGAGGCCCACTGAAACGGTAATGTATATGGACGTAGGCATCAAAGATGAACCGCTTGTTGATATTCTAAGGAAAGAGATATCGATTTCTTTTAAAATGATATTCCTCAAATCATCACTGAGACTGGGATACTCTTGTAGCCCAATGTTCTTCAACACCTCAAAAGACATATCCTGTCATTTGACCAATTTCATATGTATATGTGCATCGGTGGCACAGCTTTTAGGACTCTCGCCGACGATGCACATGGCCCGGGGTTCGACTACCTGCCGACACACACCTGATATCTATGGTCAGCCTGCAAAACTTCGGCTACCGATATCACATGCTGAAAAATCCATACTTGTACCAAAATACTGTGTGGAATCAAGCTGTAATAAAAAAAAAATGCTCCCGCGAAGTAGGATGTATGTCTTTTGGTACTAATTTTGTCAAAGTAAGTTAAAGGACATAATTTCGCAGTATTGCCAAGGAGTGTGAGTGGATCGATAAGGATTGGCATAATTGAACATATTCTCAATCCTGATCACAGCCTCAAAGGACATGGTATTTAAGCTTATTTATAAAACAAAGAGCTTCCAAAAGACAGCAGCAATTCGCATATTTGGATTGCAGAAGCATTAATCATCCACCCAGAGAAGTCTGTTGTAAGCACACAAAAGAAACAAATCCAGCTAATTCTTTTACCTCGGTATTAACTTCACGTTTTATTTTTCATTTTGATGCTTGACAACTACTCACTCTCACTTTGTTTCCTTCATCTCTTCCTTCCATCTTTCCTCTATGCTTCTGCTGATTACATCTGATTGTTCAAATGCTCAGTCACTATCACGCAACTGCTGATGGGAACCTATCAACTTTCATGATTTCTCTTGCATTTTGGGCAGAACTCATCATTCACGGTTATCATTTTGTATTCAATTGATTTAGATAAAAATGACTTTTTGGTTTTTCTTCGTGTTGCATTGACTTTAGTTAATACATTATGTACATTCACCATAAAGAAATGTATGTAAATGCAGTTGTGTGGCTTATCGGTCGAATTCACTAGACTAGTAACGAGCACTTCTCTCCATAAAAATCAAATTGTTTAAAAGTGGCTTTTAATTGTCCACGTTATTAAAATGATTATCTGAGATTCATTCTGGGATTGACATTTATAGTTACATTGCGGCTCCAACTACCAGAGCAACATTTTCATTATATGTTTATAATATTATTCTATGTAGTCAATCGAAACATTCCTCAGTTCGGCATGCCTCAAGATACCTACTAACATATTGACGGCCACCACCTAGTCGTTCATTCACAATGACCAAATAACATGCTCAGATCACAATAATATGAGTATGAGATGAATGGAATTTTCCAAGAGTCACCAGTTTGAAACATCTTTGTCTCTAGACAAATGAATAAATCCAGGATTTATGGATAGACAGAAATAATGATTCTGGTATATTCCTACGAAATAAGAAGCACAACCCAAAACTTAAAATTATATATAACTCGGTATTCGTGTGTCTCACTATCCTTGGTACTTGACTTCCAACCAATCGGTTCGGAGTTTAAATCCCGTTAGGCCTAATTCAGACTAGGCAGTGGCTATAGCCCTGACGCAGTAAGTTTGTCTTATATTTTTGGTCACTGAAATACTTATTTCGGATGACCGAATCCAGACAACAGTTGTGTAACAGTTTCTGAAGTACACCCAATGTGGTAAACCCAATAGAACTGACTTGTTGTTCAGCCGACAATAGTGAATTGATGTTTGAATATGTAAGCCTCTAGTTGAGGGTTGAATTTGTAAATTAGTCAACGATGAATCTGTTTGAAAACTTTATTAAGCTAACTAATGAAACTAACTATCTGTTTGGTACGTAAAATGATATGCAAACTATGGTGCAACAGCTTATAGAATGGTGTTCATAGGTTACTGAAGTTACAATGTTGTATGTACAAGCGTACAGTATAAAATGCAACAACGTTACTTGCAACCTAAAGGTATTACGACAGAGTGGGAAATGGTTAATAGTGTCAAAATTAACACATTACTGGTAGTGATTCGGTTTTCCAATTAGGAGTTTTTGGGGTATTAGACTATGAGCTTCACTTACGGTGAGAGCTACAAACGCGATTCACCTACCAATGCTAACCATGGCGTAGCAGATAATAAGCCAGTAGTTCACTGACTGATGGTCAAGTTTTTAAATCACACATTCATACAGTAATCAAAACAAAACAAAATGATCAAAAGAAAGGCGTTGTAGAGGAAGTCTTAAGAAACATTCACCTACCATGTTACAATTGCCACTAAAGTGAGAACACATGCTAGAATTGGTAGCAAATGCAGCCCTACTCCGCCAGGACAAAAAAGCATTGGATTCAATTGCTCCTAATCGCACAACTTCTTTATCTAAAATAACTAAATTATATAAATGAAAACATTTAATGCATTTACTGAAAATGAAACATAACTTTGTTCTGCTACTTATGAATGACTGACTATCACAGCAACTAAACGTCAGTACTATTAAATAATACACCATAAGAACCCAAGATCAACAAATATTTGTTAATTTGCCGGTTGCTAAATACGTTACAATGGTTTCAAATATGTAAATGAAATGCTGATTAATTAAGAGAAATGCAAACAATGGTAGCCAACGAAGCTTCGCAAATTCTAGAATACACAAATTCTGACCGAAATTCAGAGTGAGACGGAGTAATTCACCAAGGAAATATTGCATTTAAACCAAGAAAACATTGTAAACTTAAGGGCTACATCATACTTCCATGCACTACCTGTTCGTATATGATTATCCGAATAATGTCGTTTATTCCTCAACGTCTGATGAAAATCGTCTAGCCCTTACACATCTCATGTCACATTTTGATTAAACTTCAATATTCATGAACGCCTTCGGCACTTTTCCTAATGACCATACTGAGAGTACTGATGCCTTATCAGGTTAGTAATCACAACTACAAATGCCAAACATATTAATACCCATGAAAATTGTTCATATACTTGATTTCACTAATTTGTGGATGAAATCTCCAGAAGTGAACCCGATTGATTTAGTTACTTCTCCCACTGAACAGTATTTTTACCTGCTGTGTTTAATTCAATTCAGTGATAATAATTGTAAGAGTACGAAGTAAATGTAATAAACAGGTACAGTAGAGATGGCTGCCCCAAGTTCAAACTATGAAGTCTTTTTTTAATGTAACTGCTTTGCTCATACTGATGCAATGCATTTTCGTCTAATATAATGCTTTGGTAAGCTACTAAACCTAAATTGTACTTTTAAAGTCAAAGGGGACACTACGATAAAGATAATGATATCCAAACAAACATGAAGATAGCTTTAACTTATATCCAGATTTGCACATCAATCATCAAAAAGATTTAAATGAGATTTGTAATTACTTGTTGCTGAGTAACCTACTTCAATGCAAACAAACGTCTCAACAAATATAAGAATAGAACTTAGGCATCGTGTTAGGGTATGATTCTATAACAGAATAATTTTACCTGATAAAACATGATACAAAGTTATCTATTTACTGATGACATTTTGAGCGAAATCTACTGGTTATAGTCGAGTCACCTTGATATAATATATCAAAAATATCTTACATTATAAACATTTGTTCTATGAATATGCAGTTACATTTAGTATATAGAGACATATTATTCAAGAAACTTCTCATCAAATGTCTGATGACAATAAAATACAGTCCTGTTACATACTCGATAGTATAGTGTTGTACATATTAATTTACTGCATCTTGTTCATTCCAAGCTAATAACTCAGAGGACGTCACACAACTAGGAAACTTTATGGGTACACAATACTGAAACACCCAGTAAGCAAAATATTATCCTCTCAGTGTTCAAAGCTGCCTTTACAGGATTCTGAGAACTGTAATGAAGTGTTGCTAACTCAAGGCAGTAGGATGATTTCATGAACATATGAATGGTAGGAGTAAACGTATGTAGGACTTCATTAGTATTTAGAGAATGCATATAGGAAAAGTGGGAAAAACGCAAGGAAAACAGACAATTCTGGTCGGTTCAGACATAGTCAAAACGTGGGTAAAATATACCATGAAATACCCAATTTTCAACTGGAAAGCTTGGAGGGTGGAATTAATTCCTTTAAAAGTAACGCAAATTACAAGAAGTAAATATATGTGGGAAGCACGTCTTCATATTCTATTGTGGTTGATTCTAACTCGAACAAAGTTGCTTATTTCTCGGATAAGTGATAATTTAAACATTCTGAAACTGAGGGTCGAATACAACGCAAGCATCTGTGAAGTTCTGCAAGAACGTTGTGTTTAAAGTGCCGTGAAAATAGCTGCTAAATAAAAATACCACTTCTAGTAGAGGTTCATAATTTTGTGTTACTCCCATCAAACTTACTATTCTCTCCGAAAATATCTAACAAATTGGCTTTTATAGCATATGTATAGATAAACAGGATTTTTTAGTGAAAAGTCAGAAGGCCCAAGTGACCCAAAAACCTTTACGACTAAAAATACGTGGAATTTGTTTCAGAACCGAGGGAAGCGGAAACACCAAAAACCTTGAAATAACCTTGAAGTTCATATATCGCTGGACTGCAGACTACATTTCTATTGCAGTGAACAAAACAGTTTGCCGTCAAAATGAAAACAATGATTTCTGCACATTATGAAGGAATTTATCAGCAAAGTGTAATATCTTTAGTTCTTTTGGTATCATCTTGTTGCTGTGTGATGCAGCAGACTGCGGAAATCACTAGTAACCTTTCAGTGAGTTAGAGAATAATCCATGAGAAGTATCCAATATCGTCCTTATGAGCTCATATAAATCACTTTAATTTATTCCCGCCCGTTTCTTCGGTAAACTTATACGCAGTTCGTCCCACCACTCGACTGTCGTAGCTATGGTTGACTCCAAAGGAGTGGTGGCGGGATTAATTGTATGTTGCTTGTAGTATGCGGTGTGTTAAGACTTTGTTGCTACTGTCCATACAGTTGATCCTTTTACCAGTTAGTTCACCAGTGTCGTCGTCAAATTCAAAAAAGAGATAATAATTATAGCAGATAAAATTAGTGTAGATTATTGAGACTAGGAGACAAAAAAGAAATAAAGGAAACGTGAAAACAAATAGCTGATTAAATTTGAAGTTAATGTATATGCATATATATAAACATATATAAATATATATGTATACAATATCAGTAATAACAATAACAATTCTTATAAGTGTAAGTGTAGTAGTTGGAGTAGTCAGGAGAGTATGACAGGAGAGAATGGAAAGAATTTAGATGTCTACCCGCTGAATATTGTGTGGGATTTTAAGGGGATAGACCACTTGGGTGCAGTCCTTGTGTTGCTGCATGATTGTCCAGCCTTAGCTTATAGCTTTACAAAGATGGTGCCATAGCTACATCTGCCAGTATATATATATATGCCAGTAAGGCTTTCCATAGACGGCAAAACAGCAGTGAAAAGAAGTGGAAGCGCACCCGGGTCCTTGCCGTCTGATACGCTATCCTTATGGGGTTTCCACGAAGAAGCTATACCTACTCAATGGCAGAACACATTTGTTTGAATGATTCTGGTCTTTTGTTATCTTATAGACAGTAATCAAATCCCCCCATTAAGTCAACGGTAGGTAAGTGTGAATAGGCCTAGTTTATTTAGCCTGTCACCATACGGTTTATTTCGGAGACCAACCACTCCTTTTGTCGCCCGTCTTTGAATTCTTTCCAAGGGCTTGGCGTCTTTTCTAAGCAGTGCGAGTGCAATAATATTATGCACTTTAAGATGTGGTTTGATGTATGTTTTGCACAACCTCAGAAATAGCTCAGGAGTGAATGCACCTAATTGTCTATGTGTAAAGTGTTTGACCGCATATACCGTCACTACTTCCCCCGTGTAATTCACCCTTGTGTCCATTTTTCCCTTAGAACTATACCTAGGTCGCGCTCTGACGTTGTGCGGGACAGGATCTCGTTGCACAGGATGTAACTTGCATTTTGCAGCCTATAGGAGCGTAATTTCACTACTTTGCACTTTTTCAGTTTGAAAGTCATCCCACTGGCCACAGCTCAGTCTTCTGGAAGCTTCAGGTCTGCATTTAGCCTTTATAAGTTCTTCAGACACTTTATTGCTTTCCATATCTTTATATCGTCAGCGTAAAGAAGAGTCGGGCAGCTTAGACGGCATGGCAGTTCATTGATAAAAACAAAAAAATCAGTGGCCCTAGGATAGAGCCTGCAACACTCCTGATGACGAGCTGTGCGAAGATGTTCGGACTAGACTGACCTTAGTGCAGAATTTCTTTACAACCAGGTGGTCCTACAACCATGACACAAGCGATCCATCTTTATCTGTCCGACTTACATGCATTTTTACCAGCATTTATACCGAAAAATATCTTTAAGTATAATCACCTTTCTTAAAGTTACCCAAACTGAGTAGCAAGAATTTTTCTTCCCTTCAAAATTCGTGTTATCTCACATGAGCAACATCCTAAACTTTTCATTCCCACAGGTTTTAGTTTATCACTGGTGATGATTTCGATGATCTTCCCTGATACGTGTCGTCTTGTGTGTTCATTCATTAGATATTTGTGGCTGTTTTCCTAAGCCACCATTCCGGGAGAAGATATTAGTATATTTCACTGGTTTCCGTGGCGTGGATAGTTGTATTCATGGTGTTGATATCGTAAGGTATGCGCATTTCGCCTCATTCTTTCAGAAAAGTTGGCCACTTTTGATGTGTGTGTTAATAAACTTTAAAGGACTTGTGAAGCATTCACATAAAATAGCTTTGTCAAAGGGTCATTTTCCATGACTCAGAGTTAGTCAGATGCCATGCACGCTGGTGGAACTACACTTAGGCTTTTCAGTGTATCCCCCAGTAACGAGGTTCTGGTCTCTTTATCAATAACCAGCAATGAATGATTGTGCGATTCGTGTTGATCAGTGGTAGCAACTTTCCTCTAGCAGTCGCCCTCTGGTTTTTCAAAAATGTAGACATTTCGAAAACCACTACTCCCTTGCAACGCTAAGCATGCTTTCCTCCACCACACATACCCTCTAACGGTGTGTGCTTGTTTTATATTACGTCACGGGTTGTGGGATTCACTGACAAAGGTACGAGGCGGTTGACAGTTGCTAACGGACAAATGCATAAGTTGAACTTTATACAAGTATAAGTAACAATTGTTTCGATGAAAATAATCCAGAATAGATCAAATGAAGTGGTAAGCTTGCAAAACACTCACTTTCAACGGGAAATACAAGAAGGCATTTGACATGCAGCAAATTTGTAGATGTAATATTTCTTCATCCGTGTTGTTCAAACATTATTTCTGTTGGTTTCTATTTATTAGAAGAACATAATATTAATTACTCTGAAGAGTGCGATTTTCTGTCCTCTCTGTGTATTTGTCTTTTGGCTTACTGGAATTATACCACTGCTTAAGTGAACTTCAGTGCGACTGGTAATAGAATACAGACGGAAACATAGAGGAGTTAAATCTCTACCGAAAATGAACCATTCTGGAGAAGTTACGTATACAGAAACTTGATCATCGACTTCACAGTTGCTTACCATAAATACGGTGAAAAAATATTCAAATAAATGTCAAAATAATGCACATTAAAACCGCTTATCGTGATGCTCTGGTCTTCTGCCAACAAACAAACGGTAGGGGCCATGGCACAGACTGCTGCCTCCAACGAAAGTAAAACAAGTTCCGTTAGATGAGGCCATTGAATATTATTCAGTGTCCGCCAAGCACTCACACAAGTATTACAGTTTTTTAGCATGTATGAAATTAAATAAGACATTTCTTTGGTTGGTCGTGCTTTGACAAAGGTAAGCAATCACATAACCTTGGTTTTGATGACTGAGTTCCCAAGAGTTTTTTTCTCTGCAAGCTATTAAAACTGTGTAGAGATGATAACTAATACCATTGGTGTAAATTATATCTAGAACCGAAATGAAATGCGATACTTTAATTAAAAAGACAACAACAGTATGCAGATCTAAATCTAGGCAGTTCATGGAAGAAATACATGCAAGAAGTACAGAAATTGGCAAGACTATCCTACCCTTTGGTTTTTTGGACTATCCAAAGACCGCCCCATCAGTCATGTCATCACTTTCGCTGATTATTTTATTGAGCTTCCAGCAGAAAATGGCTACGGTGCATCAGACTTGGCAGGTGATCAAGGGTAGAATTGGCAGACACGAAAACTAACCGCAAACCTTGAAAGAGCAGCAAACTGAGGTTACAGTATCTCCCCACATCGTGTTTTCACTACAGTGGTGCAACAGAGAGGGAGGTGACAAACAGTGCACACAAGTGCGTTAATTAAACTTGGAGAAAACGAAGATAGCAGGTAAGTTCCATTGGAATCGGCGTATTAGCATTAACTTCTCACCCTGTAGCTATCTCCATTTCGGCCTACCCGCAATGACGCAGGTTGTGAGACTCACAACCAGTTGTCTATATAGCAACATGAGATGACTGATGTGTAAAACAATCGAACTGATAGACCTACGGTCCCACTATGAGATCTGAAAATAATAATGTTGGAATCTTTAAGAACTGGAATTATTGCCAACAAGGAATTCAGCGTGAGCGACTGGGTTCCATTCAGGTGGGACAAGGATCGTAAAGTAGGCATCAGAGATGACGTATATGTCAACAGGCGGCTGGGAATTATGTGAATAACAGACTGACCTCCTATAAAATTACCATGCACAAGCTAGTGCTGTCTGGCCGTCGGCCAAACCAAAACTCTATTAGGTAGGACTGCAAACCACCAACCTGTGGTAAGCAACACAATCAGCAAATATTTAGAGCCTAGGCTATTACCAAATCACCACAGCTAAGGTCCTCAGTGTCCTATCCCTTAACCTGTAGCCATGTGTTTTTCAGGGAGAACTCGATGAATATCTGATACACACCAGTGGAAATGCTGGATCGGAAGAGAACGTTTGTGATGATATTGGGGTCGGTTCTAGTAGGAATTCATCAAAACTGTGTTATATCCTGACTGGTGACCAGTTGCGAACCGAAAACACTCATATATTGACCCCTCTAGATTGCAGTGACTATGTGGCCAAAGTGCTTGATCTGGTTCTTTGTGAGCGCCTACAGTAGGATGCTAAACCGCCTTGTCTGCAATATAAAAAACCTACTACACCAAAATGCGAAACCTTTTTTAAAGCAGGATGATTCTAAAACTGTGTTGAAGTATAAACAGATAGAAATCGGGAAACAATAACAGGGATTGTTCATTCTACAGTCTCAGAAACTGTCCTTCTAGCCACAATAAAATCCAGGAAGCATTCCTGCTAGTTTAAGATATGTATGGAGTGTACTCAGCAGGAAATCATGGTGACTCTTCAGTAGTTACACTGGTTATGACTCATTCTTTTAACTCAATGATTGATGCAAAACAAGGATCCAAAGTGACAGGTTTATTTCATGTAAAAGCTGCCAGTTAATTCCTGGCGAACCCTAACAGTATATACCGATCAGTGTTGGGAAGAAAGCTTATCAACAAGTAGGTATGCGTCTTAAAAGGTCTTAGTGATCAGTATCTCACTAGCAGGAAAAGGGTTGAGACGGTCATTTCGGCCCAAGATAGTCAAATAAAAGGAACCGTGTCGCTTTGCTAGATCACCAGGAGAAATCTGAATGTGTACAGTCAACACTAACCCTACAATTTTCCTGGTGAAACTACTTTAATTTAAGCCAGGAAAGTACATAGGCTGTAACGATATTCTACAGTCAATTCTATTACAATTCGTAGGGGCTGTTTACAAGCCTTTGTGTTACCTTTTATAACACTCCACGGATTTAAAAAAGCCGGCTGTGGAGTGGGAAAAGAGTCATCGTTTACTCTCTTCTCATGGATGGATATCGGCAAAACTCAATGGGCTATAGACCAGTAGTACTGCTTCTAGTAGTATCGAGAGTATTGAAAAGCCTGACTGATGACCATGTCAGGGGATACCTTGACTAGAACAATACATATCAGAAAGCAGGGCGTGCTTTCAGAAGTGCGTGATCCTGTAAAGCAAGCCTATTATTTCACGGAGAGACTGGAAATTATGCTGGGATTTGAATGTCCAAGTCCATGCGATCTTCCTCGATCTCACACTGCTTAGCAAAGTATTTTCTTAACAAAATAGTTTAAACAAGTACTGGCGCTGTGTTCTTATGGTTGGTGAACTGCTTAGCCAAAAGACGGTGATGTACCAAAGGCAGCTGTGTCCGGTCATCGTGTCAAAGCTTAGAGATCTTCATAGGGTTTTATCGAAAGGCCCCTGATGATCTTGAATGACTTGCCATACCATCTAAATTGGATGACTCTTGTTTACTTTGATGACGAAGATTTGGAGGGCAACATAAACGTTGGGAAGACTCAGACAGTTTGCTGGGAGACCTGTATACTCTAGAAGACTTGGCAAAGATTAATGACATGCCTTTCAACCTAAAATATGCAAAGTGGTGCAGCAACGTGCCTAAAAGACTGACAGAGCTTATTGCCTCCTTTGTGGTGGAAGCCTATGCGATGCAACGTCAGACCATGACTCCGGTCTCATTCTAAAAGAAAAACTGGGTACAAACATGAATTACCCGACGGGTGTGGTTAGGGCTTACGCAGTGTCACATTTACACATAATCAGTTAGGCGCGCTCACTCTTGAGCTTTTCCTGAGACTGTAAGAAGCATGTGTAAGACCAACCCTTGTAAGGCATAATATCATTGCTACCCAGTTACATAAAAGTGATAGCAATTCTTCTGTGTCCCAATTCTCACTTATCACAAACACAGTGCGACTAATCGTCTACTGACTTAAAATCTAACCACTTATTTTATGCTAGATTTTGCAACGCAGAGTACGACTGAACGTGAGATTGCACTAGCTATGAGTCGAGTTCCATGGCTCCACACCTTCTAGTCTACGCAACTACTGATGAATACCATCTTCACATTTCTGTTAACTTGATAGTTTTATTAAAATTGGTGTAAGCATACTATTTTCACACACGCATACTAGATATACTTTTAGCGGGGTACAAATTAAATTAGTAACAATCGAAATGTTCATTTTTTAAAATTTTACTTTAATTTTTGATACAATCAGTATGTTGTTAAGAAATTGAACATACATAAAATCACAAAATATGCAAGTCTGAAAAAAAGCGAAGATGACCGGTGTTTTGCGATGAGATCATTATTTGTAGGCGTTTGAAAGAGATTGAATGAAGGCTGAAGATAAAAGTAGATACCTTCAAGTAAGAAGGGCAGTCTCTTCGGTGATTTCCGGTTCCGTACGTCTGCTACGTATCTAGTGGAAGAAACATTTAATTAAAACAGTAATGTTTATAGCAGTCATCAGTCAAGATTAGTATTGATCTTGTTAGTTTATCTGTGCAAGAGATAGTACTCTATGGTTACAGCTGTGTCGAGGAAGTGTAACCTTTAATTTTGATTCAAATTTAAAAAATTTGGATTTGATAAACGTATTTTTATAAGACGCCATGTTGCAAGACAGTTCATACTATTTAAGTGTCGGATTTTAATTCGTTCACTGAATATTAAAATCACAATCAAGAGAATGGAGAATTTTCCTGAATAGAATTAGCCACTGTGGTAGTATATAACTCCATTGATGGAATAATTTTATTTGGTATAGCACATAGGGACATAGTTTAACTTATTTATTAATAGCATTTGGAGCAGAACTGATTCCACAGGGTTCTATTAAGTTACTGACATAAATTCCAGGTTCGGTTTACATACTTCAATCACTTTTCACCCTTTCATTTTATCGGTGATAATACTCGTCGTATTTGCCATATTGATGTTTTATCACTTCTGCCGCACATGTTTAGTGTAGATTTGGCTAAGGAAGATTCAGAGTTTAGGCTGTATCTTCAAACAATCATGTGTGTGGGATTCTTACTCCCTCTGTCTTCATTTGCTTCACCCCATTTTTTCAGTTATAAAAAGTTAACTTTGTTTCCACGCTTTTCCTGCTCACATTCATAATTCGTTTAAAATAACTATTTTACAATTATATCTTAATCCTGTGCAATTTTTGTGTTTCTGAGGCTTTCGTAATCTATATTCACACCTCCTAACTTCCATTTCAAGTTAAAATTATTATTTCAATTTTGTTTCCATGCTCATTTTCTATACACCTGCAATTCGCTACAATCCAGTGTAATTTTGTTTCTAAGGCTGTCGTAATCTATATTCACACCTCCCAACTTTCATTTCAAAAAGGTATATCAGTCGGTGACTTCGTGAGACTTCATCAATTGTGATGGTAAAGAAAGTACTACATGACACCCGGTGTTGTCTTAATAGACAAGCAATGTTAGCTCAGGCGAGATTAGTCTTGTAATTACCTAGTAATAGACAACCCACTAAATGATATCATACTATTTATCTAAACCACAGGGGATAGGGTAGACTTCTTGACTGTTTTTATTGGGAAGAGAATAATCAATAGTCTGAAACTCGTTTTTTAAAACAATATCCAATACTAATATCGTATTGAATGCACACTTCATTTAAGTTGTATAGACTACATATACTGTAACCCACTGTAATAAAGCAAATTCAGCGGTTAAAGTGTCTGATTTCTTATATCAGTTTAACAAATGGGCTATGAACTACTAATGAGGATTCAAGAAAATATTCGGCTAAATTCCAGTCTACTATTAGATGACAAAAATTATTAAAAAACGGAGTTACAACTCCTGAATTTTATAAGTTAAATAAATAGAATCATTGGTACATAAAACCTATTCTTACTCACTGCTGTCATCTGAATATTTATTATTGGTTGGTAACAGCTTGCAGTAGATAAATTACTTAATGAGAAGATTTCAAGACTTCAGCACTATACTGCTGACATATGAGTCTAATTTTCTACATGTCACATTTACGTGTCTGTTTACATTACTCTCACCCCACTTATTGATTTATAACTTTATTTTTTCTCACCCTACTTATGACCTTTGAAATCCTACTGGTTGTTCACTATCTTAATTTATCAGTGACACTATTGCTTCTCAAGGTCATTTTGAACGTGAATGTATGCAAGCGTTGTCAGCCATTTCAGACAGTTGTTCTGAGACAGTAAAAGCTGTCTTATCAACATTCAGTCTTTTCTTCTATCTTTACGGATCGGCGGTGTTATTGTTGTTGTTGACGTGCGATTAGGACAGATTAACCAGCACATTAAGCTACTGTTCGCTCGTAGTCTAATAGGTCGTAGTTCCGGTTATAACAACTGCTTATAACTTCTATTTATCGAATTCAGCTGTAGGATATATATTTCTGTGATTTTCAATCTTGTGGTCGTTAATCGTTTCACCTTAGCTCTTTTACGTATAGGGATTTTTTCAGGTGATCGAATGCCGACTCATAGTTTGATTGAAAACACTTCTGATTATTCTGCTAATTGAATATTAATAGAGGTTTTTTTTCCTTCACGTTCCCCAGTGAAACATAGGGCTTCAAGCTAGTGGCTTGAAGTTTCTGTAGCAGTGTTTATTTTACAGGATGGGGTTGCTAGCCTCATACCCAACTTTTCCTCTTTACCAGCATTATTTCTGGCTTAGCGAGGTAAAGGAGTGCGTCGGCCGGGGATCGAACCCCGGACCATGTGCATTAATAGAGGTAGTGGCATGGAAATATAGCTTTCTGACATGTAGTGAGATTCATAAAATAAAAATTGAATTTCATGTCCTATTTGTCCCATGGAACTTAACGTGTACGTTAACTTCCAGTGATAACATTTTCTGTAGGAAATTCTCTGATATCTCAAGAAAAAAAAGATTTCATGAACTTACTTTAACTGGCTCTAATACGTAATTTTTCAGTTCCATAGACATTGAAGCGAAAAATAATAGAAATGAAAAGGCCATTAGCCATTCACATGTACTGCTCAACGCATGAAATATGTACCCCTGAAAAATAATTAAGTGACTTCAGTTTAAGTATATGTAGGCATAGGAGATAAATCTAGACATTTAGAAAAATATAACATAAGAGAAAATTGTGGAGAAGAAAGATCAGTAAGGGCCAAAATACAGTTATTACCCGACTGGTAATTGTTACGCTTGTATCTCGTAATGACTGAACGAGCTACTTTGACTGAAATGTTCTTAGCATTCCAGAGAGGTTAATTAGACTATAGTCAGATTGAGCATTTACCATCACAATGTCAGTTACCTAAGCTATGTTAGGAAATTTTAAAGAAGTCGCCCGCAAATTTTCGACATTCCAACTCAAAGTATAGTTATATACACATATACATTTCTACAGGTTTCTTATAAATCATCATTCTCAGTCATAAGGTTCAAGCGTGTCAACTTCACTGGAAGTCAAGGTCTTCGCAGAAATTTAATAAGTAAACAGCGAATTCATTATTTCAAATGTCTTTTCATGAATTTAATGTACTTTGCATTCATGATAGTAAGCTAAGCGTACAGGTGAATAATCAACATTTTTACCGCTGAGGATTAAAGTACGTTCTTTTATTATGTCAATAGAGTGATAGTTTGAAGAGACAAGGCGAACAAAAAGCGGAATAATTCGCTACAAAAAACAATGAGCCATAAGATCCAAAAACTGATCTGACTATTAGTGAAGAAAAGATGTAAGCATACTTGTGAAGCAAAGTAATGCTTAATTGTATTTCAACTATTCAAATTCTGGATGTAGTCGATTAAAATCAAACTATTTTCACCAGTTGGGGAAATCAATTTCTTAATGTAGGATTCAGTAAAGTAATCAAATTCACTACTTGTTTTTAGGTCATATGTGATATTTACTAAGAAGGAAAAGTCGTTCTTTTTTCTCTGTACAAGGTTCATTAATTTCGAGGATACACAAATACACACAAGGAAAAGGAAGAAGTAAGCAATTATGGAATAATATTGTGAAATATATTCATATCATTAATCAAAAGTTGGTTTGTATGACGAATATTCTCTTCAATAAATTACCTTTTCTGCGTAAAACTCTCAGTCCTATAAAACTTGGTCGATGCAAGACATCGCATTAACGCTAATATGGATATGGCTTTTAGGGTTATATACCACACTATGAAGTGATTAGTGTACACATTTTGCCTGTGTCTTCTACATACAGCTGAAACTGTTGGGATAAGATTGACTAAACGAGGACTTTGTATTCAAATAAGAACACGCTGAGGCATAAATTTTACTATGACCAAACTTGGATTATGATTTATTCTTCGCTTCATCAATGTCTTTTCCACTTATCTTTTCTTCTTGTTTTGTTTTTCTCTCTTTTCGTCCAAACAATTGTAGGCACAATGTTTTATAATCTATACCTTGCTCTCTGGTATTTTTCAAATAATATAGAATTCTCTATATTTACTATTTTGATTTATTATTAGTGATGGTATCCATGTATTCAGTACATAAGGCTATCTCATTCATTTCACATATTTATTATTCTTGATGAACTATTCAGCGCAGTCTTATTTTATCCCCCCATTGACACATACTATTTCGTACTCGCCACTCAACAAACAGCTTTTACAGTCATGTAAGGACTTGTCAATTTTCATCTCCCACACTGTAAAAATCTACTATGACTAATCGGCATCAGTGTTTCGCATTCCACAATATTTTGTAGCCGTATAAAGCCCAGCAAAAATACTATTTATTTAGTCATCCTATAATTGACTTGTTATTCTACGTTAAATGTTATTCTAATAATAACTATTTCATTTTATAGCCGTAAGAACCTGAAAAGAATTTATTGAAAAAAAATAGTCTTCGTTCAGATAGACTTTCAATTTATGATGTCAAACTATCGGTGAAAGATATTAATACAACACTTATTGAGCAGAACTAAGAATAATCAAAATTAATGCATGGATAGGCTATCATCTATTTTACTTTCATGACTAAAATTCCACTCTTTGTATCAAAACGTTAGGTTATATAAAAACTGCCATGTATATATAGAAATGTAGTGCTTACATAAATGTTTAAAACAAGTAATAAAGGTTAGTAAAGCAGGATTTAATGAATTCATCAAATCTCTGTAAAACTCGTCTGAATATTTCTGAATACTCTATATACACAGATATATATGTACTGTTGAAATTACATTAGGAGATATTATAAGACTGATAAGTAAACAAACTGCATTGAATTAGTCATGCAGCTCAGCTGTTTTCAACCATTTTGGCAAATGTTCCATCATGCGAGTAGACAATCGCCTTTCCGTACGACCTACGTATTTGCTTCTTTGAGTGTGTTTGTGGAAGCAAATACATAGGTCGTACGGAAAGGCGATTGTCTACTCGCATGATGGAGCATTTGCCAAAATGGTTGAAAACAGCTGAGTGCAAAGTGTCAAAATCCTCAATAAAAAAACATCTTGTGGACTACGGACATGATATCGACGCGGCCAAGTCATTCACAGTTGTTAGCAGACAAAGAAACAAGAAGATGCTTACAATTGCAGAGGCTTGTGCAATTCGAGTTTATAAACCAGGTCTCTGTGTACAAAAGGAGATGGTCGTGACTCTGGATCTACCATGGTAATACGTTTTACTTATTATTCTACCTCATTATTATTATTATTGATTCATTTAAAACTACCCTTTGTCGGTAGAATTATCTTAACTCTCTTCAACACTATTATTATTATTATTGTTATTATAACTATTAATATTGATGTTACTCTGTTTACGATTCTTATTATGTTCCCTAATGTCTAATTGTTTATCTAAGTGATGTAATTGAAGCGTAGTGCAATTTATCTTAATTTTGATCACTCATATTCTCTCTCCCCTTATCTATTTGAACATGACCTGGAAAACATTCATACCTATCTTTCTGCATGACTAATTCAATGTAGTTTGTTTACTTATCAGTCTTATATCTCCCAATGTAATTTCAAAAGTATATATCCGTGTATATAGAGTATTCAGCTGACGAGTTCTACCGAGATTTGATGAATTCATTAAATCCTGCTTTATTAACCTTTATTGCTTGTTTTAAATTCGTATCGGGAAATAAATTTCTTCAATACATAAATGTTGCTGTAGAAATGATTTTTCATTGATGCAATCAATAAAATATGAATTGTGCACTTCAAACATAAAAAGTGATGCAGAAAATGCTTACTTTTTCATTTGGATCCCATTTCTTAGGCAAAGGAATAGTTAATGAGCTACACATAACACCGAAAACAAGAGCTGAAAAAAAATAAATACAATATATATATATTAAAAACACTGGGTAAACAATCATACAGTATGACACTTTTCTGTTAATTGTACGTTGGTTGAATCATCAACTGTTGAATGAGTTACAATATTTCATCCGAAGTTGACAGAAGTGGTATTTTGGCCTAGGACCCATATTAGTTTGTTTATTAGATGTATCACACGGTGAAACAGTAGTGATAGTGATAATTGTAATAATCATATTAATGACGACATGCAAGTCAAATGTGCGCAAGACAACACCAACAATAAGGAATCTAAATCAACAGTAGTAATTCCATACAACGAAGGAACCTCGGAAACCTTACGCAGAATTCTTAACAAGGCAGGAATAAAAGTGGCATTCAAACACACAAACTCAATTAGAAACAAGCTTTGTCGGTTAGAGGATCCTGCTGAACCTATAAAACAAAACAATTTAGTTTATCTGATACCTTGCAATGATTGTCAGATCAAATACATAGGTCAAACTAGTAGAACAGGGGCAGTCAGACTAGCTGAACATAAAATCCTAGCAAAATCGAGATTGCTTGATCCAAATAAGATAAGAAATCTAGAGAGTAGTTCAGCTACAGCACTACATGCAGATACACACAGCCACACAATATGATGGGATAGGATGACAGTTTTAAAATCTAATGTCACAGGGTGGAGGGAGAGATTGATAACAGAAGCTTTGTTTATCGAATCAACTGCAAATACATGTAACAGGAATGATTCAACACCTGTCCACCCAGATATCTGGAAAATTCTACTACCCCAACGACGACAAATAGGAGAGGACAAAGAAAACTATAAAACTCAAGTTTCGTAGTTGTGTGATTATAATTGATGAGATGATAATGAACAATAATAAATTTCGTTCGAAATGTCATCCAGTAAATAATAATTCTCTTTCACTGTGTGATACATCTAATAAACAAACTAATATGGAATTACTTGCTACCAAAGGGCCGAAGTTTTACACATATATTAATATGACCTAGGACCCGGTATTTGCATACTTTTTTAAATATCCTGAACAAATTCAGTGAAAATGACATATAATACTCATGAAATTGTTGGGAAAGTTGGTTACGGGAATTTAAACGTGTATGAAACCTACACTAAATTATTTTTGTTATCTGACAAGATTTTAACCAGTAACTATCAGGAAAATAAAACAAGAAATTGTTCCGACTTCCGGCCATATATGTAGAATGTTCTTAGATAATAAGTGGTGACTGGATATTATCATCACCACTATAGTACTTGGAATGTCGGTTATATTTACTTTTGCCTGAGCTTACTTCAAATATCCATTCAACTAGGATTGGAATCTTACTTTACAAAAAAAAAACGTAAGAAAATGAAAATTATAAAAAACTGCATCTACTGTGTTTGAATAATAACGCCTTCTTAAGAGTATGAGTGTCACAAAATTTATCGCGTATAACAGTGAGGTGATCATTGCTGAAGATTCCAGAAAAATCTCGAGTGTCATACAAATTTCAACCGTTTCTTGGCTGGGGTTGATTTGAGAGAAAAATTAATTTGTAAATTAAGCAAACTCGTGGTTTACTTTCCATAGTGTGATTCTATTCAGTGTTAATCTGTGGTGAGAGCTGTCTACTGGCCAAATTGGTAGAAAGTAATTGACGTCAATGTTTACGTTCCATGAGAAAATGTGAACAAAGATTGATTCAAAACCGACCACAGCAGACTTTGCGTAGGCGGATGCAGTTAACATATAGGGGATTTGACATTCAAGAAACAGTCACAAATAGATGAAAGATTAACTTTACGTGGGAAACAACCAATCGGAACGCTGTGTTTGTTTGCTTAAATATCCATAGTAATGTACATGAAAATGTATAAATATGCGTTGATTTCCTTAATAAATGATCTGTTGCCTGACCCTTGCCTTCTGTTGTTACAAATCCAGTTTAAATATACTTATAAATCGTATGTATGTGTGCAAAATAATCCTGTGTATATCATTTACCTACTTAGAGTTGTGAGAATATTTTTTTTCACTGTTCACAATTCTTGATTTATTCATCTCATTAAAAGACAAACAGCTGATTTTGTTTTACTTTTATTCCATTAAATACATCCATCGTTTGCAGAATTTATTGTTCTGACTTCAGTTGCAGGATCACTGAAAACTAGGAAATACTGGACAGCTGTTTTGTCCTTGTTTGGGGCTCTTCATCAGTGTGCACTCGTGAGTCCACTGACTGTCAAACACAGGACTTTGGGGCTACAAGTCGAGCTCGTCGACCATTCAACCACTAGGAGATTTTCGTTGTTTTAAGGCTGTAATCTAATAACAGATGCACAATTGGTGAAATTCCAAAGATGTTTTCCTCAAATAGTTTAAAAGCAGTCAAAAATTGCACTACACAGTATGCGATTATAGACATTTCCTAAAACTGCGAAAACATCATAATGTAACTGTGAGTCAATTAACTAAATATACAGTTGTGAGAAAAGTTTAATATCTCAAATGCCCGCAAAAATGGAAGAGAAAAAAGCCGTCAGTCCTACCAGTAGGAAACAGTACAAAATCCAAAATATACTTGACTTTAAGTAAAATTTACTTAATAAACAAAATTTCAAACAAAAAAACCCCCAATACATACTTCCTATATGAGCCAACAAAATGACAGCGCTTAGAGTAGCGCGTATAACAAATATCTTGTGGTTATATTCTAAGTGCTTTCTTGTAGAATAAGTTACCAAAACAGTGAATACATTTCCCAGTCCAAAAACCAACAGTGCTCCCATCAGATGAACGGTTAGAAGAGTAGCTTCCTACAATAGAAAAAAAAATAATCCATGGTTGATGTAATGCTGATAACAAGTTTCGGAAATTTATCAATTATACAATCAACTACTTATGTATAATTAGGTAGACAAATTACAACGTCAAAAATTTATCTATCAAAATAGTGATCATGATGTGAAAAATTACGAGGACATGTCATCAAATGAAGCGTAGAAATTAACTTAAAATTTATCTGGAAGAAACAGTAATATTGATTAATGAAAGTATAGAATAAACATAGTATCTAGTTAACCCTAGTGAAAGAAATATCATTGTCCATGGTTTCAGCGAGATGGACAACATACTTCAAATTCAGTCCATATTTATTTGCATGTAAGCTAAACAATAAGCTACACAGTATTGAAAGATACATAGGAAATAAAAAGGTTCGCTTGAAATTTACAAGGATACAGAAAAAAGTTACATGAAAAATAGTCGACTGTGTAACCTTTCAAGACTGCTTTGGTTGTTGTCTTACTTATAACTGCAACTTGATGGTCGAACATAGATTCGAGCAGAAATTAGTACAGACCATTGGAGGACAGTATTTATTGTCGCTTTTCTCTAATCTTCAAATACTCAGTCGAGAAGATTTCTACACAAACCGACATAAAATAGATAACCATTAACTTTCGATTCTAGTAAAAATAAAGTTTTTCCGAAAAATTGTGTTGTATCGCTTTTATCTGATGAGGAAAAAATCAGTAGTCCTTTATTATCCCTCTTTACTAGTATTCAGTAGAGCAGTTTTGATTCATTCCCTTACATCATTATGTTTCATACAGTGTAGAACAATAAATAAGGCTCCTGTGGATCAAATAGGTCTGTAACTGAAAATTTAAATGAATTCACATGTTCGCACCATACCAATGAGTGCAAATAGCTAATAAAGGCCCACGTAATCAACCCAACAGTTATTAAATAGTATTGATTACTATTCCCTTGAGTTTCAACTGGAAAATAGGATTTCAGCAACAAATCTACACTTTAGTTTGTTCTCTCCAGTCTTTTCTAGCTGGCTCCACACGATCTACTCCATGTTACCTCTGAACACCCAAATGATCATTTCACATTCACGTTCCATTTTAGGACCTGGCGCACGATGTCACACGATAGTCTTTTCTGTGCATGTCTAATACATTTCCTTCCTCATGATTGTCGGGTAATAAGTTCTTGTTTGGGTTACTGTCAGAGTTCTTTGTTGCTTATTTATTTCTAGCTATCTGGTCTTCAGTATTAGACAGGCGAAGGTAGCTGTGGATGAAAGTCTGCAGTAGACTGTTGGAAATGCTTTTTGGGGTGTTTTTCCTTTTGCCAAGTGCGGCAAATTTCCAAACTTATTTTATACTAAAAAGGTCTGTGTCTCTTTTTCTATCCTGGTTGGCTTCGACATCCCCATCTGTGCTGTCTGTAGTTGAAGCGATGCCGCCTAGATAAGTGAATAGAGTGAATTCCTTCAAATTTTGATGTCAACAGTAATTGGTCCTAGTTATTATTGGATAGGTATCTTCACCACATCTGCCTTCTCTTTATTCACTTGAAGTTCTGTCTTAGCTGCTTATTCTACCAACTTGTTGATTTTCACCTACAGATCTTAGAGTTTGTATGACAGACATCAGTCATCCACAAAATCCAGATATTCTGAAGTCTCCTGGTACGTCCAACGTACTGCTGTCGTCTTGCTTTCCCTGGTCTGTTGACTGATAGAACTCAGTCTGCACCAAACGCAAGACTAGAGGCATGACATTAGATACTACTTTGTGTCCAGTCAAATAATCCAGTTCGCCGCAATCAGCAGTATCACTAGTGATAGTAGTTAGCCTTGTCTTGATTAAATCTTCATTTCATAGGCTTAAGTGAACCTTCTGTTATGAATCACTTGACATGTGACGACATCATACAACTGCTTAAAAAAGTTCATAACGATTTGGGGTACTCTGTAGCCCTGAACAAGTTTGAAAATTATTTCATAGCTGACGCTGTCGAAGGTCTTTTCAAAGTCGATAAATTTAAGGCAGAGAATGGACTGGCATTCTATGCCCTGTCATAAACCTACGTAGTTTAGCTCAGCTTGAATACATTTATATGATTATAAGCAAATAATTGCGTCTGAAGCATCATATAGTAAATAACGCTGTCAATATTTCACTCGTAAAATAAAACTACTCAACACTGTGCAGCAAAAAGACCGCATGTTCAACAACTCGATATACCAGAAACTAGGATGCAATAATTCTTTACACAAATGCAACCACGAATTTTACTGCTAATATTTACCAAAAGGACTGAAGGCATGTATGTGAAGGGATTAAAAGTTAAATGCAATATTTACGGCTTCTATTAAGTAATAGAAAATTGAAGCTTTTTGAACTTTTTCATTCATTCCTAGTCGTTAGTACGCCCACACATAGAACAACATTATGAATCTCTTCACACTGAATTTAAGTCTTATGGTTAGGCCGTCCAATGACTGAATTCAATTAATAAATGTGATCATCTATTCGTGACCAGTGACCAGATCCCTAGCACAAAAAAACAGACATTAGTATGTTGCCTTTTATATCAGTAGTAGTGTCTTAATGTTTATTCTCTCAAAGATAACTTTAAACCAAACTTTAAGATTAAAGAAGCACAAACAGACCATTACAGAAAATTAAGCAGAATACAAGTACACAAACCCTGAAAATGAGAAACAACAAGGAAGAGGACGTAAGATGGCGAGATTAAAGGATAAAAATCCAAAGTGGTAAAGTATTAAAGATCGTGTAACCTTTGAGAATTTCAAAGGTGGTAGTTTAAGAATATGTATGTCATTAAGGTCGATTTGCTGAAATCTTCAATGACAAAGTTCCACCACTCAAAAGATTTCAGCTAAGTAGTCTACAAGTATTAAAATAAAATAGGTCAAGTCAATGCCTAAAACATGAGCATAGGAGCAGTTACCACGCAAAGATCGAATCGTTTTTTAACCATGCTAAGAAAAGTATTCTCGTGGAGGTTGTTGGCAGACAAATGGTTGTATGTTATAGACGTCGACAGCCATCGGATTACTTCAAGGTACGTCTCAAATAAAAAAATCAAACAGCTTCTAGTAATCAAACCAATAGTCGACTTCCCTCTCATGTTAATATTACAAAACTGTAGCTATTTTCATGAAATTAATTTCAAAATGTCAACAGTATGCATCATTATCTTTACACGTGATACAACAATAATTACGTGTTGAAACAAAAGAAATTAAATGAACCATGTGGTTAATAGTAAAAGGTTGAAAATCATTATTATTATTCTGAGCTATGAAAGTGTGACTACTTTAATAAATATACAAACATAAACAAACTAGGAGTCAATGAGAGTCAGAAAATGCAGAAGACTTCATTACTTTTCAGTAATCCTATATACCCATTGTGGCTGATGCGAGAATACATTGATATGTGATAGAGTAGACTAAGACGTGTATTGAACGATACAGAAGTGAACATTGAAAACAAATAACCTGTTTCAGTGCCTTCTATGTCACTGAGTCACGACAATATTCAAAAAAATAAAAACTTGCCTATGACTGTAATGACAACCTTATTAGAATAAAAATAAATTGTGAAATTACGCTAGCTTAATGATGTAATAACTTATTTTGAATGGTTGAATAAGGTTCATTGGTGCTCCATAAAACTAACCCGTCCACATAACAACATCAATTTAATTTTGAAGTTGAACAAAGCAAGAACAACAATTGTACCAGGATAATATGAGCTTATCTTTTATCATTTCGAGGATTCTTCTCAACTGCTTACAACCTGAACGATGAAAAATATGAATTACATTACATTAAAGATTTGAACATAATTTTCCACGATCACAAGGAGTAATTGGTAGGAAGTAAAAGTAATTCTGAAGTACAAAATTTCTTCTTTCAGCATTCAAACATTCATAGTATTGACTTTCATTTCAACTATCTGCCGTATATAGACATTGGTAGAATTTATTTTGATATTTAATGCTTTCCAGGGTGACACATCGAAATGAAAATGTGTTAGTTAGAATAACATATTTTGTTGTATCACTTATCGTATGCATGAAAACAATTTCGCAACGACACTCAATTCATTTTTCGTAGATGAAGTGATTTCATAATTTTGATGTCTGTAACTTTTCTTTTTGTAGTGGTCAGATGATAAAGATTCGCTAACAGTTTGTTTTTTTCAATTTCTATGTTTCAGGTGACTCGTCATTATCATATGAATGAAGCCAACTATAGTCTGTGTACATTAGAAACAAATTTGATCGATGGAAAATAACTGTTTTTAGTAGTAAGAGAAAGAAGAAATAACAGAATAGTGTCTTACTGCTTACAGCTTTAGTACGACAAGAAATAATTCTGTCTCAGTTTTCATTTAGAATGAAAAATTTAAGGGCATTCAATAGTCACCATCAGTCATCAATAAACTTTATGCTCTGCACTAAAAGATTAGTGACAACTTCTTATACTTGATCGGTAGATTTCTGTCAGCAGTCAGCAGTAATACGTACCAGAGAATTATATGAGGCAGTAGTTAAATTATTATTATTATTCCCTTGGGTTCCTAGTGGAACATAGGGCTTCAACTACACATCTCCACTTGCTTCTGTCTTCTGCTGTACTTTTCACCTGCGTTCATGTTAATCCATACTGTTTCAATTCCTCTTCACACGATCTCCTCAAGGTCTGTAAAGTTGAGGTAGAGATTTGATTGCCATTCCATGCTTTGTTCGATGATGATGCGTACAGTTGCAATTTGGTCAGAACATGATTTGTCTTTCTTGAATCCAGCTTGTTCTGGTCGGAATTCTGCATCCAGTGCGTCCTTGATTCTCTCCAGGATGATGGGACTCAGAATTTTACTTGGCGTCGACAGGAGCATGATTCCTCGCCAGTTCTTGCAGAGTCCTAAGTCGCCCTTCTTTGGTAGTTTCACAAGGTAACCTTTCCTTCAGTCAGTAGGCACCTTTCCCTCCTTCCAGACCATTTGCAATAATGGAGCCGGCATACCTGCTGTCGTCTCCGGGTCTGCTTTCAGTACTTCAATGGGTATTCCATCTGGTCCAGCTGCTTTTCCAGCTCTCAGAAGCTTGATTGCATTCAAGACTTCAGCTTTCGTTGGGGGATTGGTGTCAACTTGCAGTTGTGTACGTGCTGTTGTTGGTATTTCTGGACGAGTTGCAGGCGGTGGTCGGTTCAAGAGTCCTTTGAAGTGTTAAATACTTCAGAAAAATTATTGAAATCAGTAAAGTGGATTAAACTTTTGTTAAACAATTGTTATATTAAGAATAAATATCAATTAATATCAACTAAGTCAATTTATGCGTGGTTTTGATAAATGAATGAATGAATATATTAGATAAAATCGGTGTTAGGTGTAATATAGCATACAAAAATATGCGTGATCAAGACTTGATCCCTTTTAAAATGTTTACCTTCATTTACAACACAATTTTGAAAAGCGTTTGTGCTTTATAAACTCGTTCTTCAACCTAATGCCACAATTATATATACACATATATTTGCAGATTAATAGTTTAAAGAAATTTGACAAGAATATAAATCGAAGCTGATACCTGGAAATTAGCAACCATTGACATTCCAAGAGCAGATAAACAACCAATAAAACAAGTAACACGAGCAAACATAATGTGAGAATGAGGTCCACCACGGGTATGTATTACAACACATTCGTGTAGATACCAACCATAAATACATAGGATACCTGAATTGGGAAATAAATATATAGAACAATTAATCAGTGTAGATTAGAATAATCGGCTTACTAGCAAGTGTATAGAATTCAGGTGAGAATTTGTGTTAGATCATCAACCATGTTTATATAGGCATGAAAAAGCACTATGATAATCAAATTCATCAAAATATCATCCTAGTCACTGTAGCAGACGCTGAACTTTTCACAGAAGTTGATTGGAAATAAACAAGATGAAATAGGACGGAATTCAGGTGCGAAGAGAAGCACGGTGATCAACCAATTACAATTAGCTCAAACAACTGATGCCTAACGCTTATCATTGACAGGAAATAATTGTATCTGGCTTTAAGAAAGCATAGTATGTTAACCAGTGGTTCTATATTCAAGTTCTGCAGATTTGTATTGACTTGCAGTGAATCGTTATTTGTTATGACGACGACGACAAATGATGTAGGTTAAGAGTGGTCTTTATCAACATCCTGTTGCCCTTAATTATGTATGCATTGTAGGCAGAAATTCTCTTTACCTCCGATTCTATATAGAATAAGTTAGTTTGTAGGAAGGTGTACAAATAAACTTGTACTGTTAAACAAAGATGTTGACAAAATGTGCGTGCGGACCTATGAAATGTAAGACTACATCCTAATAGACTGGACTGGTTCTTCATATATAAAATTCACCAAGTATATAAAACAACCCATCACAGTTAGCTGGTTGGAGAAATGCTCAGTAAATATCAACTGTATGAAATGTGCTCTCTAACTTGCCTTATGACGAAATCACCTCAGAAGCATGAAATGAAACATGTGATATCGAGTTGCAAGATCCGGTCATTAAACCATTAGGTGTTAGAAGTGTGTAGAAAATATATTTACCAACCTAACCGAAATGGGTCAAAGAGACATCTAGGCCTTAATCTTATTTTCAAGTGCTACTAAATCTGCCTTTAGTTATAACAGAATTAGCGAATTACAGTTTCTGGTCAACTTCATATAGCATATGGATATTAAAAAGGTTGATACCTGATTTTACTGAGCTCATTTAAAAGACCAAGTATGACTTCTCAGTACGCATTTAGACATTGAAGTGAGTGAACTAAAAAGTAGCATGTACTTAAATCTGCACAACTGGCTGAGAAAAATCAGAAGAGAATGAAATGAACAATTGATAACTATTTGGAAAGTCTTAGGTAGTTTTACTGGAGATGTTTAGACCACTGACATATTCGGTAATACTCTTGAAGTGCAGTAAAAATATGATGCATCAGTTGTAATAAATCCATCAATCTATAACTATCACGGCAGAGATAAACTAATAGCTGTTCACAAAGATCTTACACACTCTTTTCGCAGTTGTTTTTAACTGAAAACAGCCTCAAAAGAGACAACATTAATCCTCACAGCGATAAGATATGTGGTTGGTAAAGGCAGTATTTATTGAACCCTCCCTCTTACAAAGTATAATTATTTAGGAATCCTCAATATTTGCAATGACCATTCTTATAAGCCAACATGATGACTTCGCCTATATACCCAGAAATTTCCTCTCATACTTTGATTGTAAAAGTAAGAACCCAGCTGTCATTGATTCTATCAGTTCTCCGTACACATTCCTGAGACATCAAAAAATAACTCAATGAATAACCCTTTTTTAAACCTAATAGGGATGAGGAAGTCTGGTAATCACTGTATTTTTTTTGTTACCGGTTAATAGAAAATTCGAAGAAATATTGTATGATTTTTTGTGAAAAAGAATTTATTGGTATAATGAATGACAATAAAAAAAATATAAATTATAATAACTCATGAAACTTACTTAAAAATGAACATAAGTTGAGTAGCTGACCAAATACACAACTTTCCGGTGGTAAGGCTCCAGTGTCACTGAATTATAAAAAGTATGAATGAATCTGGTGATCACTGGACAAGAGAGATTTACTGAAAGTATATCACTACATATTATTTAAATAAATGCATGACGAACATAATTATTTACTTACGGTTAGAGTTAAATATGATCGCTTTCATGTAAACTTCAATAGCCAAGCTGCCATTTCCCATTCAGGTTCCGCTTGAGAGCCTACATAGAGTATGACGTCACGAAGAGGCTTGCTCAGTTGATGTCAAATCCACCTTCATTTCCTTCTGCATATTTGCTGAGCACTTCTAGAGGGACTTCATCTGGTGCTCCTTCTTTCTTGGTATTTACTACTTTCACAGCCTTCAAGACTTCTGTTTTCGTCTGAGAGTTGGTGATTCTTTGTCTGCTGGTGGTATTTTTAGACACTTTGCAGGTATCGGGTGATTCAGGAGTGCTTTGAAGTCGCTAATTCAGCGCTTATTCCGCTCCAACTTTTTGGTAATTGGGTATCCTTCACTATTTTACCACGGTTTCATCAGCTCTGATCTCACTCAGGATAGGGACCTGGTTATTTGATGTAGTGTTGTGAGGTTCATCTTACCTGCAGTCTGTTCTGCTTCAGTTTCTAGTGGATCGTAAAAGCCTCTTTTGAATTCGCTATCACTCTTCCCCACACCTGTGTTCAGTGCATCGTAAAGTATAATACGCTTCTTCTTTCACTGTTTATCTCTACACCATCTCATCTTCAGCTGCATTATTATCCTTCTCTCTACCAGCTTCCATGTGTCCACGGAGCGACATTATTTATCCTGCCTCTTCTTCTAGACTAAGGTATCTATAAAGGTTTTCTTTCACATGTGTTTCATAGAGTTCCGTTGTTCTTTCATGAAAATTTTCTCAGTGATGTTGTTCAGTGTCTCTTCTTCCCGATGACTTTTGTTAACGTGTCCATCGCAGCTTCTTCCTTCAATTTTTAGGTACTGAACTTGAGTTGTGAGGGAATAGGGGGAGGACTATGTGAACAGAAAAAGAGGGTTAGAAGGTAGCAGTAGAATCAGCTGAAATCGGTGACAGGGAACCTAGTACAGAATAGATGCGCCACCGAAGCCCTATGTTCTATTCGGATCACTAGTAACGAATAGTAATAATAATGGTGAGATAAATAAAATGGCATCCGGATGATAATCAGCGAATTTGCTCGACCATAGTTGTGTTTATAAAAGTCAATTGACCACACAGTAAGCACTCAAAGCTATGGATCACAACACTATTATATACACAAGTTCAAAGACTGGAAATAGTGTAGGTTCCCTAAAGGTTGAATACATGCCCTACTGGGGACACCCAGTAAATACCAGGACCTAACAACTGATATCTTCTGAAATCTAGCAAATAAAAATAGAATTACCTTCAGGAAATGATACCTCTAAACTAACCTGTAAGGGAAGATTTTGAACAAAGGAAGGTAGTATCTCTTCGTGTTGTAATATTATCTGAATAGGAGGGTTTAGTTAATAAGTTTTCTCTTTCTTTCTAGATACTATTCTTATTGTTAAATATGCGGTGAAGATGATTTAAAAACCAAGGTAGCATGTTGGTTAATAAGAGTTATTCATTCTGTGTACTCCTACACCTATTCAACACTGATTGTTATTACGCAACATCTGTCTTACTGCATTTGGATTCTTCAGTAGCACGTATCCACAACCTTACTAGGGATCGAAATCTGGATCTTCAGGTTACAAATCCAACACCTTGATTATTCCCCTACTCGGTATCAATCCACTGACACAAGTCTAGTGCACCTTTGTTTTTTTAATGATCTGTCTGTTTTCAACATAGGACTTTGCACCGATGTGCAGCAGTTCAAGTCGCCACACTCAATATAGCACACAAAGCAAGAGAAAAAAGTAGACGAAATGCAAAATAGAGACAGTTAACAGAGGTATGAGACAAAATGAATAATAATAACGAAGAGCAATATAGTTTCATTGGAAATTATAAGGCACAAGAAGTGGATGCATCTGCGCAATTGAGAACGATTTTGAGCCATATCACCCAATGTCTTCAGCCATTGGTTTTTACCGTCCCGAGGACCCCAACCAGGAAGTCTACATCTTCCTACACGGCTTAGACTAACTGTTGTGGATTTCATTGACTGATGCCATGTTTTGGTTTGACCGCCGCTAGCTCTTTTCTAGCCTGATTCTATATCAGCTAACATTGCCCTTCGAAGAAGGTGATGACTAGGCATACGTAACACATGTCCTAACCATTGCAGTCGATGTGGCTTTACAGCCTCGTCGATTGATTTCCCCTCCTTACCTAGCACTCGACGCCCAACCTCAATATTGCTCACCTTATTATACCACTTTACATGGGAGATAGAACGCAGACACCTAGGATGAAAGACAGCTACCCTTTTTTGTCTTCCACTCTGAGTGGCCAGTTCTCACAGCGATAAAGGGGAAAGGAGCAGACTGATGAGCAGTACACACGACCTTTGGTCGATAGCCAGATATCACGTCTACGCCAGAGACACCGTAAACTGGTATATGAGAAACTAGCCCTCTGTATCCGTGCTGATTCTACAAATGATTTCGGTTCATGACGAAATCGAAACTGAAATTAGTTGAAATCACCACAAATCTGAAATATTGGATAATACTGTTTAACCAGTCAGTCAGTTCACAGTTACCATTCTGACACGTTATCCGAACACAAGTGTCTCAAAAAAGGAGTTCCACCATTTATTCAAATTAGAGATCAACGTTATCACCTCATTTTTGAATGCTGCCACATTTCATTAATGGCAGATAAAAAGAAATAACCGATCAATAATCGGAGCAATATTAATAAAACCTTATGAGGACAACATTATTGATGGTGATATCACCTTTTCAAACGAAGCAGTACTCAAATTAATTCCAGACACTTTCTTTTTAACCAAAAGCATAAACAACATTGTGGAATAGACAGAGCATTGTGGAATAGATTTATAATATGCCAAAAAATCTGTGATGAATGCTCTCACATATGCACACAATGACAAATATTTTTGTCTAACCATTATCTTAAAAGCCATCAATGCCACTGATCAGATTTACAATGGGATATAAGGTAAGCATAAAATCAAAACAAGCATGAGTAAAAGTGTTTCAAAATCGAGTGCAAGACATATGTACGTGGCGAAAACTAAACTTTATTCTTAATCAGTGATTAGTACACACGACAGACTTATGTACTAACAGTTTGATAAATAATAATGCAAATAAACTGACTGTACAAAAACTAGCGCGAATGCACACTATGCGCAAATTATAAAGTTTTGAGAAAAAGACTGTCATTATTAGATATTAGCGAGCTATAAGAACAAATCACACGATTATGTACAGCATAATTTGTAAACATTTTTATTCAGTAAGTTTCAAATCACATGTAATAGTCTAACACGGTGCACGGCATTCAATATGTAGTGCCAATATAAATTTAAATATTGCCTAGTTTACTGGCGTACCAGTTTTCTAACCTGTCCAAGAGAGAGCTTTGGGCGTGGAGCCAGCGACCGTACCGTGGAAAATCTGTCAAACTGCTAAAGAAACTTCGACGCACAAAAATACAAATTATATAGAAAACGAGCTTATTCTTCGCTGGAATCGGAGAGGTCAAATGACATGGGCTGGTCCAAGTCTTCGAGAAGCCGATCAGCTAGCCAATGTGTCTCCTCTCGATGAAGGCAAGAATAAGAATAGGGATGTGGTATGTTCATACAGTGCACGAGGCTGGAAAGGCTGCCCTGGTAGCCAAATAAATGCGAAGATATGGTATAGAAGTGCTGAGAATCTGTGAGAGCAGATGTAGTGGATGTGGATTATCAAAATTGTCGACTGGTAAACCAGTAATCTACTCCGGTCTGGTTACCCAAACGATAATCACGAGCACACTGAGGCAGTGAGTGGCCATCGTGATGTCGCCAGTGGCAAAGAATGCCCTAATGCAGTGGGAACCAATCTCCTCATGCAGCATAGTGACAGCAAGATTCAACTCAGAAGGAAGGAAGGAAGGTTTAAATTATCCAACGCTAGGCACCTACAAAGAACCCGGACAAAGAGGGGAAGGAAGATTTTTAGCGACAACTACAAACAGTAATGGACAACATCCCGAATGGCGACATCAAAATCGCTTTGGATGATATGGATGCCAAAATGGGAGAAGATAATACAGGAAGAGAAGTCATCATGGGTCAAGACGCTATTGGTCGGAGAAATGAATGAGAACGGAGAAATCTTCGCAGACTTCTGCGCTTTCAATGATTTGGTGATCAGAGGCAGCTATTACAAGCACAAGGATATGCACAAGGCCAGCGATATGGATTACGCCTGACGGACACATCACAAACCAGATAGATTTCATCTCAATGGTGCTCAAGGAAGTGGAGACGTAGCTTGGACATAAAGTCGAGAAGGGGAGCAGATGTGGGGTCAGACCATCACCTAGCTCAAGGAACCTTCAAGGAAAAGCCGAAATCCTTCAGAACAACTGGAGACAGGCCACTGTAATTCAAGTTCAACATTCAGAAACTGAAGGACAAAACTATAAGGGATACCTTCACTACAGATATCAGAGTTAAGTCGGAGACACTACGTGGCGTCATGATGGAAGCCTGCGTGGAAGAACATTGGAACTAACTCCCTGAAGATGTTGTTCAAGGGAACCTGTAAAACTGTCCTAGGAAGAAAGAGGAGGCAAAACAAGGGATGGCTCTCAACTGACACCTACCTGGAAGCTAATCGAGGAGAGGAAAGGAGGACGGTGAAAGAGAAGAAGACTCAATGCAAAGATGGGCACCAGGAGAGGGAGAAGCCGAGGCTAATGTACACTGCAATAAGTAAGGAAGTGAAGACGAGTGGTCGGAAAGACTAAACACACCGGCTGGCGGCAACTAAAGCAGAACAGGCAGGTAAAAGAGACCTCAGGACATTATATCAGATAACCAGGTCTCTATTCAGAAAGAGACCAACCCAGATGATGGAACCAATAGATATTCAAGAAAACCTGACTACCAAGGAGGAGAAACAGGTGAAACAATGGGTTGATCACTTCGAAGGGCTCTTGGATCAACCATCACCTGCAACTCGCCCAGAAATACACCACCACTAACAGCATGCACAGAACAGCCTGACAGTGGGCACAAATCCTCCAACGAAAGCAGAAATCCTGAATGAGATGAAGCTACTGAAGTCTGGGAAGGCAGTAGGACCAGACGGAATTCCCCTACCCCGAAGCACTGAAAACGGACCCAGAGCGTGTGGCAGCTGTTGTTGTAGAAGATTTTGAAGGAAGGAAATGTACCTAACGATTAGAAGAAGGGCTATCTTGTCATGCTGCTAAAGAAGGGTGACCTACGCCTTACTCTGCAAGAACTAGCGTGGAATAATGCTGTTGTCCACGCCAAGTAAAATACTAGGTCGCATCATCCTAGAGATGATCAAAGATGCACTGGATACAGAACACCGTCAGCCAGAACAAGCTGTATTCAAAAAAGGCAAATCATCACGTTCGGATCGAATTGCAACTCTACACATCATCATCATCACAGAACAAAGCATAGAATGGCAGTTAAACCTCTGCCTCAATTTCATTGACTTCGAGAAGGTCTAACACAGACAGCGTCGACCATGGAGTAATTTGGAAACTGCTTTAACACTTCCGTGTGCAGTACCCCAGGTCTTTATCAACCTCATTCAACAGCTGGCCATATGACAGTGCCACGTGGCAGGTGATCCACAACGGAAAAATCACTCAGTGAGTGCTTCAGTTGAAGTGAATACAGGAGTTAGACAAGCTGGTTGCCTATATGCTATCACCGATAATATTCTTAATTGTGATAGATTGTGTGGATTATGTGGCACACGGTACTTGAGGAGTGAGAAGAGAGGAATACGCTGCACTGACCGATAAAAGGACCATTAAAGGTCTGGACTTCGCAGATGACTTATGTTTAATGTCACACAAACTCGAAGACTTGTGGGCAGAAGGAAACCAACAAACTGGTTGAAAAGGATGGCAGCGAAGACAGGACTCAAGGTGAACACAGAGAAGACAGGTGATGAAGATAGCCAACCAACAGCAGCAGCAACAACAACAACAACCAGCACCAATCACCATCAACGGGAGAGATTTGACAGAGGACACTTCCTTCACCTATCTATGAGGCATCGTTTCATCCACAGCTGACAGATCAGATGAAGATACCAAGGTCAGTCAGAATCAGAAATCCAAGACACGCCTTCGTCAACCTGATATGGGTTTGGAAATCTTCTGCACTAACTCAGCCAGCCAGTATAAAGAACAATATTCAGATTTTCAATACTAATGTCAAGTCAGTCTCTTCTTCTACACGGGTCAGAAACTTGGCACCCACATCACTAAAAGCAGCTCCAACAGGTGGCTACAGACTTTTATCAACATCTGACCACTTCGCTGGCTGGCTGCATATTGAAGATCAAATGGCTGGCTGGCCAGAAAGAATTAGCAAAAATAATCTGTGGGAACAAACTAACCAAGAACATTTGATGTGGTTGTGTTCTCTGAGCTGGATAGTTAATTTGCGAAGTTTCATCTACCTACTAGGCGACATCTTCAGCTCATACTTCAATTTGAAGTGAGTTTTTAGATTTCTCCACGAGTTTATTAATCATCTCTCCTGGTGACCTTGGACGTAATTGGTTGTTTCTGTGTTTTCACACCCTCTAGGCTGCTTGTATTGGAACTGATTGTTTCTTTGACTTGAACTTTGACCCTTTGTGTGTGAGATTTACATCTTATCGGTTGGTAGATTTTGTCCATCTCGATGTGTGTTTTGATAGATGATTCACTGGAAAACCAGGACTCTAAAAATTTCCTAGCATTCTTGGTATTTCCTCTATCTAATATTTGGACGTTGGTTGTGCCAGTCGAATTGATGTCCGTGGTTGTCTGTATGTAGTGATATAAGGGAGTGGATGTCATATCTCTTGATGGCTAGCTTATGTTCATGGATACGAAGACGAAGGGGACGTCCACTTTGACCAATGTAGTGTTTTTCGTACTTGTTACAACTTGCTTTGTAGATGATGTTGGTTTTATCTCCTTTCGTTGTTGAGTCTTTTGGTTGACATAGAACTGAGTGAAGTGATTTTGTTGGTTTGTGTGTGGTGTCAATTCCCAAAGGTTTGAATAGTCTTGCAGTGATTTCTGAGATGTCCTTTATATATATCAGGGCGATTTTCTTTGTGCTTTCCTTGGAAGCCTTTGGTGTGTTAGGTTGGCTTATCGTTCAAAAAATGTGTAGGAGAAAAATGGAGATGGATTGGGCATACGCTGAGGAGACTGTCCGATTAAATCGCACGTAATGCAGGCCATCGCTCGAGTGGAACCCGAGTGGAAAACGACAAGTGGGTTGTCGGTGCGAGGGTGACATGGAAGAGGTTGTGCGAGTTGATGGCAATGAGAGATTATAGACAATCATGGGCCCAGCTGAAGCGGATAGCAGAAAATATAACAGAGTGGAAATGAGAGGTTGAAGCCCTATATTTCACTGGGTATCCAAGGAAACAAGAAATAATAATAATATCAATTTAAGTATAAAGGCATAATTTAAAAATTAATGGTTAAGTTATATAATTTTATGTATTGTGTATACTCACCTTATATATGGAAATAAAACGGAGATATGATGGTCTGATGCAGAAATTAAGTAACTGAATAAGAAAGAAAGGAAAAATTGCTATAGTATGTAACGTAACAGGAAAAATGAAGTTTGAGAAATATTTCTATTGCATACATTATAAGAGCTGCAAAATACAGACAAATGTTTACCGAATATTAATTAGGCTTCCATGTTATCAAAAAGTAATCAAATAGGATTGGTTACTTGAACCTTTATAGACCATAAGAGCTACAGTTCCTTGTGTCTATTTGATATTTTTTCCAAACTTGACACAAAACTAAACATACTCATAACAGTTTTTGATATCAAGCATATTAGATGTTGAACCCAAACTATAACCACGAAGATTTAATGAGTGACTGATTTATGACTGAAAAATAAGTAAGTATGCTATGAAAATGCTGAGACATAGTAATTCTGAGACGTTAATTATGTAATAACTGCTAGGGATTACGGCTCGTCGGAATGGTGATGAGTGAGTCGGTCGCACAGCGGTTAGGACGCTCGCCGACCATGCACATGTTCCGGGGTTCGATTCCCGACTGACTCACTCCTTTACCTAGCTAAGCTAGTAATAAATCTGGTAAAGAGGAAAGGGTGGGCATGAGGCTAGCAACCCCATCCTATAAAAATAAACACTGCTACAGAAACTTCAAGCCTCTAGCTTGAAGCCCTATGTTCCACTGGGAACGTGAAGCAATATAAAAAGAATGGTGATGCACAGATTCAACGTTTCGAAGAACAAAATCGATATTACAGGTATGTAGTTATTAGTAGGACTCGGTAGAAATAACACTCAGTAAATATGCGGATAAATTAAAGTGCTAAGTTCTATATTAATATGTTTGTCGTTCACAGTTATATCAATCCTAGTATGGTAGGATTATAAACAATAAATTGTCGTCCAGTGAATAATACTGTTTCACGGTGTAATATACCTAATAAACAAATTAATATGCAATAACACACTACTAAACTGTCCAAGTTTTACACATACTTTTATGAGCTATACTATGCACAATAACAACTACTACGTAATTTGTCTACAGTCAACAAAAATCGTATTTTATAACAGGTGCCAAGTGTCTATCGTTTTACACAACACACCACATATCAATTATTTCTTAAAGAGTGGATGAATACCCTGACGGGTGTTTACGATGAAGCTTTGTACTGAAGTACTACACACTTAAGTGGCGCTATCTTCTTCAATGGTGTTATATTAAGAAAGTTCTCCTTCTGATGTGCAGATACCTTTCATGATCTCGAGACCACGCACACATATTAAAGCGTAGATATGAAGCTTCACAGTTATAATAAGGTTAGTACAGACAAACAGACGTTTTTTAAAGTAGATAATGACACTGCAAGAATACAAAGTGTTGCAAAGGTTTACATTAATGTGGAGGAGTATTAAGAAGGAAAACAAGAAATGTAGTACTCAAAGACAATAGAACAAAGAACGGAATAGGGAGAAGTTGCATAACAACTTAAATTCCACAAACATCAGTGAGGCATATTCCAAGTCATACCAGCAAGGCTATCAAATCAAAGATTTTTATTGTGTTAGCAAATCAACTAGGACGATTGTATTTTTCATATGATTAGAGTGAAACACTGAATGTCTGGTTAGCAGCCAGTCATTATGACCACACCAGAGTACTTCTAAACTATTCTTGCACAAGCTAAAATGATAGTTTGAAATAAGCAGTGGACAAATATTCATAGGAAACACCCGAAAAACAATAAATAGTTGCATTCGTCATATTCGGACATATCTGTTGTCATAAAATGCATCTGTTCATTGTTTCCATTTTCCCTGAATACATGAGTGAAACTGCGAGAACCTCCATATTGTGTGATCAATAATAGAGCTTCCTTCAATGGGCTGTGCTGATAATTTAGCTGTTTTACTTTAAATTCTCACACCTCTCAATAATATGCGTTAGTAAACTATGCATCATAACAAAGTTGAATTAGAAAATTCACTCATTGCCAAATGTTTGCCAAAACACATTTCACGTGAATTCCCTGAGACATTGAAACTTTTATAACAGTTATGTTACTATAAAAAGACTCATCAAAATTACGCAGGAATCAACAATTTCATAATAAAATTTCTACTTAAACACAATTTGCCTTGATGATTCGAGTAAATTAACTAACAACGAGTAAATTGGTACACTTAATGGTCAACCATATATTTTAGGATGAGTTATTTTGGCACGTCGATGAAAAGATTATAACAATAGGGAAAAATCGATTGTTCAAGTTTACTGGAAGTTTGTGTTGATATTATGTACCCCGTACATCTACCATGACTTATTAAAAACGTTTAACTTTTCTGATACCCAAAACCACAAAACTCACCTAATAGAAAATGTGCCCACCATGGCTAGAATAAGTGCAAAGATCAGGTGATGTAGTGCTACACATGCCATAATTCAAAACGGCAGGAATCGCTAAGAGTAGAGATTTTTATGTCTGAAAAAGCATAATAAAGGTAGGGGATGATATTTACTGACGAACTGTCTGTGAAACAAAAACAACTAAACAGTAGTTTAAAAAATTAAACAGACATTACTTAGGTGTATACAGTAAGGAGAAGATGATCTTAGACAAAAATATCAATAACTCATAATGACAAATTATGACAAAATCGGTTACAGGATTTCATCATGAGCTGACATTGGTTAGAGAACCACTGGAAAGCCTGGGAGTACTGGACAGCTGTTTCGTCCTAGTTTGGGACTCTTCATCAGTACGCACCCACCGGGGTTCGAACCCAGGACCTTCTGGTTACAAGGCGAGCTCGTATACCATTAAGCCACTGGGACCCGATCCAATGGTCCATGTATTCTAACTTCTGCAGTCCAGTACTCCCAGGTATTCCAATGGTTCTCTAACCAATGTCAGCTCATGATAAAATCCTGTAACCAATCAACCAAATCCCTACAAATCAATACTTGAATATGACAAAATCATTGATTTTTCATTACAGTTTGACCGCTGTTTGGTGCTTTATATCATGTAAATTGATAATTTCTTGACTGAAAAAAACAGTAGAGTGAATACGAAATGTCAACAGGTTATTAGTGTACATTTAGAGTTAATAAATGTTGACAAATAACCTATTTTTGGAAGCTTTCATTTACAGACCTAGATTGAATTAAATCAGATGTCAATAAGTGAAAGATCGTTTTTCATATACGTTTACTCTACTGAGTAATCATAAACTAGCTTTTCTACTATAGTAACGTTTATAGACGAATATGGAACTATAGGATTGTTCGACCGATATTTTGAAACTCTGTTGTATTGGTGGCTACAGAAATCCTTATCTATATGAGAAAGTGACCTCTTTCTTCACCGAATTGCACCGCTCTTGAACTCGGTAAGATATTCAGCACCCTAGTAAGGCAAACTACCGTTCACTTTAGCCTGTAATATAGGCGTTAATGTGTAGTCAACGGAAGCAAAAGACCCGTAGTATTGCTATGTGAGTAATGCAAATATGTGCAGTTCTAGATAAGATGAGTATTTATCTTATCTCGTTTCCCTGTTTGTATCATGTTTTACTCCTTTGTTTTTAAACACTGCTGATTTTGTCTACGTTATTTCCATCAATTTTACGTCTATCGTTTGCTTCATATACAACTTCTATGAGTAACTGACCGAGTGACTACAAATTGATTTTAAGTCATGTGTGAATACCATCTGTTTGTATATTATCTTTTGTAATACCTTGTTTTATGCTTTCAACGTAATTATCCTGCTACTTTCAGTACAAAATTAGGATTTTTAGGGTTTTTTAAGTTAAAGATATCTTTATTGGTGGTACGATACATTTGACTACCTTCGAACATTTAAAAATTATTTTTTAATTTTAATTTGGAGTTTTGAAGGCTATATCATTGATTACAACAATACCGGTTACTAATATATTTTGGATTACCAAGGCCTTTTAATCCGTTAGTAAACATTTTACTTCCCTCTTCAAAAGTCAAATACCCACTAAATAACAATATTACCTCTTTTCTGCTTGTATTGAACATAAATAAACTTCTGAATTAAATGGAGAGCACTTCTATTTATAAGATATTTTGGCTTGCCCAACATTTAGAAACGGGAGTAGCATGGAAAAGTGAAATGGAACCTTTTTTTCTCCAATAAATTTAGTAAATGAAACGAAAATTTTCCTGAATCTTCTTCGTTACGTCTAAAAATTTAAACAGATTCCCTGATCATAGCAGCCTTTTATAGGCAAACCTTTATCTGCAGTTACGAAATCTTAAGTGATGCGGGGATCACTATAACTCAAGAAGAACTTTTTCCGTCTAGAAACTTTGAATACTCTTGCTCATCGAGTTTGATTTTTACTTTTAGGGCGTACAGGTAGTGAAATAAGTGTATGCATTTTATGTGATTGCCCGTAAGTTCAAACAAATATAGTTATCGTAACATCACAATAAAAGTACTGGACTGCTATAGCTGACAGCAAACTAAAAGTTTTGAAATATTCGGAATTTTTAACGGACTATCACACCAGTGCCAATTTAGATCAGTTGCTATCATCTACAACTTATTAACACCCTATTCGAAAAACTTCCCAGTTGCTGCATCTTTGGAATACTCCTCTCTTTTTCTAACTAGTGTCGCTTTTGGTTCCCTTAATCGTAGAAACCGCAGTAGTTTGGTTTTGATAGTTTACCTTTCACTTTTCTTCACCTAATTTGGTGCTTATTATTTAGTTCGTAATCTACTCAAATTAAAAGTCTTTTAAATTATAAACTTGCTTCACCTAACAAAGATAGTCCTGTGAATGATATTTTGTGACATGGGAAACGTATTTTACGTGCTGTATAGTGTTACTGCTTTTTATTGACGTTAGTTTTGGTTAGAGTAATGATGAACTGTTGTATTTTGACTAAGGGTTCTTCAAAAGTGGAATACATTGTACTCTTATTCCTAGCTTGTCAAGACAAAATGAAACCAATCTAGTGTCATCAAATAGAGACAAGCTATCAGCGACAATGGATTTCAGTCAGCTTTTTAGCCGATGCATGGGTATTCAACTAAGATACTGAAGTATCACCGACTTATCACAACGAAATGAGATAAAACATTAAAATCTAGCGGATAGTAACCAAAGACTGTGTATTTAATACAGCATCTCGCACCATAAAGCGTGGAAGTCGAAAGCTAGGAACTTAAGAAAACTGCGACTTTTTATTCGCAAGTTCACATTGGTCAAAGTGAGATTTGAGCATAAAATAAATAACATCAAAGTTTAAAGTAGGATGGTATTCATTAAGAGCAGCTAGTTGATGAACACTTACCTTTACACTCACTAAACTAATTTGGATGTAATTTACTGATCCACATAAAGTATTTACAAGCAGTTTACGTGGCAGCAAAACTAGTTTTGAAGGGACATATGAGTGCTCTCAGCGAGCAACTGTATGGTACTACAGAAACATTGTTTATTAGACTGAGCCTATATTATTCTGTCGGGATAATAATAGCCCATATAGAGACATGACACATTATCTGTCTTCCACAGCATTTCAGATTCTTAAGCTTCCCAGGAACTTTAGCTATACAGTGTAAACGAAACCAGTTAAATACCATACAGGTTCTAAATTCTTTTAGTAAGCTGATGCTATTAAAAACTGTGAGTTATCAATAATCTAAGTGATTTAGCGTTCATCTTTAGCAAAACTCATTCAGCTATAGCACTTCTTGTATTGTGGATAAATGTATATATGCATACGTATAAAAACCTGAGAAAATGTGAAAAACCAAATGATGTCTTACAAATTCAGTAAGCACAACAGTTAAACGCCATGATTAACAGAATAACAAAAAGCACCACACGGAAATATATGTTGAATGAACTTGGTCAATAAGCTTAAATGTCCTACAGCATGCACTATTTGTTGCTTGTCTATGAATGAGTGTCTGTAACGTACTAGAGCTTTTAGTATGCAGTGGGAAATAGAAAACATGATTTTAATCATTACTGAAATCCTTACAAAAAAGGTGAATTATGACAGTCCTTGGACTCGTGTATGCATAAATTATTTTTAAAAACACTTCAGGCTGTACCTTTCTGACACAGATGTCATTTAATCATACTAGCATCAATAGCACATAAGCAGGGCTCTACTATAAAGGAATAAGAGTTACACTGCAGGTATAAGCCAACTAAAGCGCTACAATTGTGAAAAGACAGTGATATTTTTCATTAGAAATTGTATGGAAGATATGACTTCTAGCAATAGCTAAATTATACTGAATTGCTACCCAAGTGAAATATCAATTTTCGACCAAATGAAGGTTACCAATGTCACTACGGTCTTTTCATTATATGAAGAATCTATGTCATTTAAATTATAGAAATATCCACCTTAAGATTTCTGGTAAAAAAGATACCAATGTAGAATACTTCCATCATGCATGCTTTGATCATGAAGCTCCCAAATTGCACTGACTTCAGGAGCACTGCGGAAGCTTTGAGGCAGACTTCGGGCGCATTGCAGGACTTTGGGGAAGACTAGACATAACTACCCAACGTTCTGTAATGCGCCCTAAGATTTTCCCCCGAAAATTCTGCAGTAATTACTAAGCTCTACCTCCTTAGCTAAGCACACTGTGAGAGAGGCACTGAGAGAGGCATACATCTAACAGCATTCCATAAACTTAGAGTGAATTCTGTCGCGTTAAAACTACTTTTTCTACATCACGGAATGAGTAACCATAATATGTAATCAGGTGATTTTTCTCTCATCTTTGTAACAAATTACCACAGTACTCTCAAATATTCGAACAGAGGATCTCCTCTCGTAGATGGGGTCTTCAAGTTCTCAATAACAATTAAATAGTTCAGCTGAAATATATGTATATATGCTGGATTATAATTCGGCAGTATATTCTCTTTGTCTAAAGATTCAAGGTATGCACAAATACTAAATTTCAACACAAGGAAAACTATTTTTAATTATGATCAAGGAAATAGGGCATAATAAAAAGGAAAAGCCCAACAAAAAGAGATATGACAGTGCGAATTACAGTTCGCACAACGGTATTTGCTTACATTTATTGACAGTTACGCGACCTTCAAAATCCAAAATCCAACCTGCGTTACGAACATCCTTAAGCTAATTCATGATACGACAGACTTGCCTCAGTGAAATGAAACAGTTGTAGACTCTTTTCAGATTCTCGTAACACAGATGTATTACAGAGACTGCTATGGGTTTGTTCAAAATCCTTTTCCTATTATTCAAATTGATTTCCTTGGGCTCACTTCAAGGTTAAATTTCCTGATCTCCGGTAAATATGTGCGCAGTTTGTCTCGCGAATCGCCTTCTATAACTCTGACCGACTCAGACAGAAGTAGTGTGAGGGGTTGATGACATGTTATTTGAAGTACATAATATGCTAAAACCGGGAGATCATGACAATGAATATGGTATTAT